AGCCTCTCAATGGCCAATGCATAGCAATCCAGGGTTTATATACGTCATTGGAGCCACCCCATTAAGCAGACCGGAACTGACAACTTTTTCAATGGTAAACGGCCTGAGTGGGACATCTTTATTTATCCATCATCTTCGACTATGGTTTGACGCTAGCTAGCACGAAGGAGAGGATTAGATTAAACTGCCCCGGTTGAACAGGGCCAGAGAAGAAGAGCAAGAGAGAGGTCCAACTCGGTGGAACATCTGTCTCCCTCCAGCAGGTGGCGTTTTTTCATTGTTTTGCCCACCAAGCAAGGAGTTTTTGTATGGAGGTTAATAAGAGAGTGTCGAATTTGGTCAACAAAAAAATACATGGCTTATTTGCAACGTGAGGTCTATTTGAACGAACATAAATTTCGTCATGCTTAAGTTGTTAGGAATGTACTGATATAAGTAGGACATGTGACATCCCGGCAACTTTGACTTTATACCGAGATGGCTATGCATTATATCAATGTCATGAGGCTAGTAGCATAGCATTTCTCTCCAATGAATACCGGCGGTTGTGACGTCAACAACCCTCATCGAATATTCCAAAAACGATTACAATAATGAAATATATCCACCAATCCAAAGAAAGGACAGGCGGGATCTAGACAATGACTCACACTGTTATGGCGGAGAGACGTGTATCTTGTCAGTAGATCCATAATCTTTGACCGGGCTATGGCCCGTCACGTGACCGGGCGTAGCCGGTGAGAGATACGCGCCATGTTCAAATCGAACTGTATTCTGCTCCGCTTTGTCATATTGGTCGGGTCTCCCTGCTCAGACATTGCATGCATCAACCATTAGTTGCATGGCACTTCATCGACTGCAACAGATTTTTTATTTTTAAATTTATTTAACCAGGTTGACCAGTTGAGAACAAGTTCTCATTTACAACTGCGACCTGGCCAAGATAAAGCAAAGAAGTGCGATAAAAACAACAACAACACAGAGTTACATATGGGATAAACAAAAACGTACAGTCAATAACACAATAGAAAAATAGAAAATCTATATACAGTGTGTGCAAATGTAGTAAGTTATGGAGGTAAGGCAATAAATAGGCCATAGTGCAAAATAATTACAATTTAGTATTAACACTGGAGTGATAGATGTGGAGAAGATGATGTCCAAATAGAGATACTGGGGTGCAAATGAGCTAAATAGATAACAATATGGGGATGAGGTAGTTGGGTGGGCTAATTACAGATGGGCTGTGTACAGGTGCAGTGATCGGTAAGCTGCTCTGACAACTGATGCTTAAAGTTAGTGAGGGAGATAAGAGTCTCCAGCTTCAGAGATTTTTGCAGTTCGTTCCAGTCATTGGCAGCAGAGAACTGGAAGGAATGGCGGCCAAAGGAGGTGTTGGCTTTGGGGATGACCAGTGAGATATACCTGCTGGAGCGCATACTACGGGTGGGTGTTGCTATGGTGACCAATGAGCTAAGATAAGGCGGAGATTTGCCTAGCAGTGATTTATAGATGACCTGGAGCCAGTGGGTTTGGCGACGAATATGTAGTTAGGGCCATCAACGAGAGCGTACAGGTCACCATGGTGGGTAGTATATGGGGCTTTGGTGACAAAACGGAGGGCATTGTGATAGACTACATCCAATTTGCTGAGTAGTGTGTTGGAGGCTATTTTGTAAATGACATCGCGTAGAGGTGGATCTGAGAGTCACCAGCAGCAAGAGCGACATCATTGATATACACAGAGAATAGAGTCGGCCTGAGAATTGAACCCTGTAATAGAGACTGCCAGAGGTCCACACAACAGGCCCTCCGATTTGACACATTGAACTCTATCTGAGAAGTAGTTGGTGAACCAGGCGAGGCAGTCATTTGAGAAACCAAGGCTATTTAGTCTGCCAATAAGAATGCAGTGATTGACAGAGTCGAAAGCCTTGGCCAGGTTGATGAAGACGGCTGCACAGTACTGTCTTTTATCGATCGCGGTTATAATATCGTTTAGGACCTTGAGCGTGGCTGAGGTGCACCCATGAGCAGCTTGGAAACCAGATTGCATAGCGGAGAAGGTACGGTGGGATTCGAAATGGTCGGTGATCTGTTTGTTAACTTGGCTTTCAAATACTTTCGAAAGGCAGGGCAGGATCGATATAGGTCTGTAACAGTTTGGATCTAGATTGTCACCCCCTTTGAAGAGGGGGATGACCGCGGCAGCTTTCCAATCTCTGGGGATCTCAGACGATACGAAAGAGAGGTTGAACAGGCTATTAATAGGGGTTGCGACAATTTCGGCGGCTAATTTTAGAAAGAAAGGGTCCAGATTGTCTAGCCTAGATGATTTGTGGGAGTCCAGATTTTGCAGCTCTTTCAGAACATCAGCTATCTGAATTTGGGTGAAGGAGAAGTGGGGGGGGGGGGGGGGGGGCATGGGCAAGTTGCAGTGGAGGGTGCAGAGCTGGTGGCCGGGGTAGGGGTAGCCAGGTGGAAAGCATGGCCAGCCGTAGCAAAATGCTTGTTGAAATTCTCGATTATCGTAGATTTATCAGTGGTGACAGTGTTTCCTAGCCTCAGTGCAGTGGGCAGCTGGGAGGAGGTGCTCTTATTCTCCATGGACTTTACAGTGTCCCAAAACTTTTTGGAGTTAGTGCTACAGGATGCAAATTTCTGTTTGAAAAAGCTAGCCTTTGCTTTCCTAACTGATTGTGTATATTGGTTCCTGACTTCCCTGAAAAGTTGCATATCGCTGGGGCTGTTCGATGCTAATGCGGTACGCCACAGGATGTTTTTGTGCTGGTCAAGGGCAGTCAAGTCTAGGGTGAACCAGGGGCTATATCTGTTCTTAGTTCAGAATTTTTGAATGGGGCATGCTTATTTAAGATGGAGAGGAAAGCACTTTTAAAGAACAACCAGGCATCCTCTACTGACGGAATGAGGTCAATATCCATCCAGGATACCCGGGCCAGGTCATTTAGAAAGGCCTGCTCGCTGAAGTGTTTTAGGGAGCGTTTGACAGTGATGAGGGGTGGTCGTTTGACCGCGGACCCATTACGGATGCAGGCAATGAGGCAGTGATCGCTGAGATCTTGGTTGAAGACAGCGGAGGTGTATTTAGAGGGTAAATTAGTCAGGATGATATCTATGAGGGTGCCCATGTTTACGGATTTAGGGTTGTACCTGGTAGGTTCCTTGATAATTTGTGTGAGATTGAGGGCATCTAGTTTAGATTGTAGGACGGCCGGGGTGTTAAGCATATCCCAGTTTAGGTCATCAAGCAGTACGAACTCTGAGGATAGATGGGGGGCAATCAATTCACATATGGTGTCCAGGGCACAGCTGTTGTTATGCCACGTTCAAAACAACTGGGAACTGGGAACTCGGAAATCTAAAATTTCCGACTTCAGTTTGTTCAAGTCAACAGGGAACTCTGAAAAAACTAGCTCTGACTGAGAAAAATTGTTCTGAATGGTCATCCTTCTCGGAATTCCAAGTCGGAACTGGGGCCTCTTTCTAGAGCTCCAACTTTCCAACCTGAAGATCACTGACGTCATGATTTGACCTCGTTTTTTGTTTGTTTGTTCCCAGTTGTCTTGAAAGCACCATCACGTGGTTAGCTGATACATAACCTATCTAGGCATTGTATGATCTGGAATGCGTTAGGAATTTCTGGTTATATCAGCATGTCTGGACGATCTCTGTGGAGAAGATGGCGGAAGTGGATGCTAAGTTCGAATCAAGCAGCGTGTCGAGCAAAGTTGGTGAAGACAAATGTTCTGAATGGACATCAGTAGTATTGAAAACTGAAACAAAAAGGAAATTGTCTCAAATTGGAGTGGAGGATACGTGTATGAATGAAAATGAATTGCTTCTTGTTGGGATGCGTTTGTTGAATAAGAATGCATATGTGGGAGACCTGTTTGAGGTGTCGAAAATGGTGAAGTCTGTCAGAGTGACCAGGAGTGGTCTTATTTTGATTAATTGTATTTCTGAAGAACAGAGGAAGATTGCAGTGGGCCAATAAAAGTTTTGTGTTTTGAACTTCGGAGTAGAGCACCCGTCAAAGGAGTCATCTCAGGGGTGATGACAAATGTTCAGGTTGAATACCTGAAGAGAATTCCTGGTGTGGTTGGTGCCCAGCGTCTGACCCGCTGGGTGAATAGAGAAAAAGAAGAAAGTCTGTCGGTCCTGTTGTTTTTTGATGAAGAGCAAATATCTACGCATGTGAAGCTTGGTTATGCTAGTGAAGATAGGGTAGTAGATGCACCACAGCCTGTAGTAAATGTTTGCTTCCAGACCAAAGATACCCTGTGTGTTAAAAAGGTGGATTTTGTTGCGTTCATTGCCACAGTTATAAACTGTAAGGCACAAGGCTCAAAGAAGTCTAAGAAACTGGACATTTTTGTGTTTTTGTATTTTTTCATAGATTTTTTTTTGTAGTTTGTTTAGTTTTTGGGGAATCCGGTTTCCATCCCGCACAGTAGGTGGCAGGATGATCATTAAATTGTGTGATCGCAATACCATAGAAGATGGCATGCGTCAGCATTGGGAATTCAGATAAAGCGTTTTCATCAAAAGCAATCCACTTTTGAATGTGAACACGGAATCCTACTCATTACTACACATTCTTAACCTATGTCACTTTTGTTTTGAGCCGACTTCGCCGTCGTTCAGACGGGGTACTCAGCTCCAAATCGAATGCAATCAACGTTAACCCGGTTCACCCGGGACATTAATCGAATCTCCTCAATGACACCTGATGGAGAAATATTACAGCCAATCATCAACCTGTAGGCGGGGTGCGCGGTCGCACTGATGAAAGACGAGCCGCAGCCCTTATGCACAGATAATCTAGTTTCACACGGGTTTTATTATCTGTTTTGATTGTAGGCTATGTTCTGCTGGTGAGAAAATAATCTATATTTTCTATTAAGTTGCCTTCTGTATTTAATGATATATTTTCAGCCACATACAGAGGTTGTTTTCAGTTTACAGTCACTGTTAAGAGTATGGAACCTTTGCGGAAAGAGGCGAAGGATAATCCATCGGCTACAGCTAATCTTCTTTCCAAGATTTTCTTCTGGTAAGGAAAGTACAGTAGCAGCAGTGTTTGACAGCTATTGACTGGCAAAGCCGACTCGGGTTTTGACAATTGCTATGAATGGTCAAGTGTGAATGATGCTTGCAGTATCCCTATGTGTGTCCTACCAGCTCAGCTGCCATAGCCTTTTAGAGCGCAAGAACAAGGACGACTACCGGTAGATAAAGTGCTCATACAATGGCCTCATCACTTCCTCTATCAAAGTTTAAAACATAGCTACTGTCTGTCCACAGGGCTGTTTATGTTGATTGCTGCAGGTGTGCGTAAAGTAAACATGACATTTGAAATGTATTAGGGTACTTTGTTTATTACCCTAAACCTAATGGCCAGAAAATGCATTCAAATGTATTTACGTGTAGGCCCTCTTTTTATGCATGTGTGAATAACAAAAAATCCAACATACTGTTTGTTATCCTCTACCAGTATAACTTACACAGAACTTTAGATTTAATTGACTGTATACATGTACTGTACATAAACACATACTTGTTTCTTGTCACCAGCTGGCTGAATCCTTTATTCCGTATTGGCTATAAGCGGAGGCTAGAGGAACATGACATGTACAAAGTTCTTCCAGAGGATGGATCCGAGAGACTAGGAGAAGATTTACAGTGGTAAGTCACATCTTAATGCAACCAGACACATTCTGAGAGTTTGATGAATGCAGTAAGTTGGATGCTATGGCTGTTGTTTGAGTGTTACATTCCTCTTGTCTGTAGGTACTGGGATCAAGAAGTACACAGGGCTGCTAAGGACCTGCGCACACCCAAACTAACCAAAGTCCTCATTGCATGCTATTGGAGGTCCTATTCTGTCATAGGAATATTTACTCTCATTGAGGTACCACATACACTGTCTGCAGGCATATACTTAACATTTTCACAAAGTAGCTTACCCATGAATATGTAACCAGTGTGAAAAGGCTAGCTAGTTAGTGTTGTGTGCTAGTAGCATTTCAGTAGGTGAAGTCAGTCTCTGAGACCTTGAAGTAGTTGTTTCCCTTGCACTGCAAGGGCCGAGGCTTTGTGGAGCGATAGGTAACGATGCTTCGAGGGTGACTGTTGCTGATGTGTGTAGAGGGTCCCCGGTCCCCGTTTCAAGCCCAGGTTGGGGCGAGGGACGGAAGCAATACTGTTAGAAATACAAAACTACAATACCAGTCAAAAGTTTGGACACACCTACTCATTCAAGGGTTTTTCTTTATTTGTACTATTTTCTACATTGTAGAATAATAGTGAAGACATCAAAACTATGAAATAACACATATGGAATCATGTAGTAACCCAAAAAGTGTTTAAACAAATCAAAATATATTTGAGATTCTTCAAAGTAGCCACCCTTTGCCTTGATGACAGCTTTGCACACTCTTGGCATTCTCTCAACCAGCTTCACCTGGAATGCTTTTCCAACAGTCTTGAAGGAGTTCCCACATGCTTAGCACTTTTTGGCTGCTTTTCCTTCACTCTGCCGTCCGACCCATCCCAAACCATCTCAATTGGGTTGAGATTGGGGGATTGTGGAGGCCAGATCATCTGATGCAGCACTACATCACTCTCCTTCTTGGTCAAATAGCCCTTACACAGCCTAGAGGTGTGTTTGGTCATTGTCCTGTTGAAAAACAAATGATAGTCCCACTAAGCGCAAACCAGATGGGATGGCGTATCACTGCAGAATGCTGTGGTAGCCATGCTGGTTAAGTGTGCCTTGAATTCTAAATAAATCACAGACAGTGTCACCAGCAAATCACCCCCACACCATAACACCTCCTTCTCGATGCTTTACGTTGGGAACTAAACATGCAGAGATTATCCGTTCACCCACACCGCGTCTCACAAAGACACGGCGGTTGGAACCAAAAATCTCAAATTTGGACTCCAGACCAAAGGACACATTTCCACCGGTCTAATGTCCATTGCTCGTGTTTCTTGGCCCAAGCAGGTCTCTACTTATTATTGGTGACCTTTAGTAGTGGTTTCTTTGCAGCAATTCGACCATGAAGGCCTGATTCACACAGTCCCCTCTGAACAGTTGATGTTGAGATGTGTCTGTGACTTGAACTCTGTGAAGCATTTATTTGGGCTGCAATTTCTGAGGCTGGTAACTCTAATGAACTCATCCTCTGCAGCAGAGGTAACTCTGGGTCTTCCATTCCTGTGGTGGTTCTCATGAGGGCCATTTTCATCATAGCGCTTGATGGTTTTTGCGACTGCAGTTGAAGAAACTTTCAAAGTTCTTGAAATGTTCCGTATTGACTGACCTTCATGTCTTAAAGTAATGATGCACTGTCGTTTCTCTTTGCTTATTCGAGCTGTTCTTGCCATAATATGGACTTAGCTCTATTTGGTAAAAGACCATCTTCTGTATACCCCCCTACCTCGTCACAACACAACTGATTGGCTCAGACGCATTAAGAAAAATAAATTCCACAAATTAACTTTTTAAGAAGGCACACCTGTTAATTGAAATGTATTCCAGGTGACTACCTCATGAAGCTGGTTGAGAGAATGCCAAGAGTGTGCAAAGCTGTCATCAAGGCAAAGAGTGGCTATTTGAAGAATCTCAAATATATTTTGATTTGTTTAGCACTTTTTTGGTTACTACATGATTCCATATGTGTTATTTCATAGTTTTGATGTCTTCACTATTATTCTACAATGTAAAAATAAAGACAAACACTTGAATGAGTAGGTGTGTCCAAACTTTTGACTGGTAGTGTATATATTTCAAAACACATCCACCTTTAATAGTAATGGTGTTCTATGTACCTGCACTTTTCGGTTAAAACGTATCGTGTTTCTTCTCCTCCCATCAGGAAATTATCAAAGTGATTCAGCCAGTACTTCTGGGGAAGCTGATCCAGTATTTTGAGAGCTATGACCCCGACAACATGGATGCTCTGTATGAGGCCTGTGGCTATGCTGCAGGTGTCTCCCTGTCCACCCTGGGTCTGGTTGCTCTGCACCACCTCTACTTCTACCATGTGCAGCGAGCCGGCATGAAGATCCGGGTGGCCATGTGTCACATGATCTATCGGAAGGTCAGTAACCGCCAGCTCTCAGATGAAAGCCTATAAACAGGGCCCAGAGTTTTTTTTCTAGACTCGTCACTATGGAATCACTCCTGGTTATTATGACAGGTCATTCAGTTAGTCATCATCAGCAATCTTTTACATTTCTTTACAATGCATGCAACATGAGGCATACAAATTGACTGTTGCATGAATCTAAATTTACATGGTCCTTTGATATCTCCAAAGGCCCTCTGTCTTAACAGCACAGCGCTGGGAAAAACCACCACTGGACAAATCGTCAACCTCTTATCCAACGATGTCAACAAGTTTGATGAGGTATGCTCTGAAAAGACACATTCAAGATATTTGCATATCAGATGACACTGCTCAATAACATACAGCCTTCTCCCATCCTTCCACAGGTCACTATATTTTTGCACTTCCTCTGGGTGGGTCCTCTACAAGCAGCAGCTGTGATGGTGTTGTTGTGGTATGAGGTCGGCCCATCATGCCTTGCAGGAATGGCCGTCCTGGTCTTCCTGATGCCTATACAGACTCTGTTCGGGCGCCTGTTCTCCTCCTTCAGGTACTATACATGTACCATAATGTATCACTCTGTAGGAATGTATCTGAACCAGTTTTGCTTTGGCGTTGTAAGTAGCTATGCATTTCATATGTGCATACCTTGATGACACTGAATAATAGTGGTGGAGAGACACTTTGATGCCTTTTTACTTTCATGCGAAGGGTTTTACAAACTTGTCTGGTTTATTACTGTATCCATGGGTGCTGTGTCCTGTTACAGTCTGCTACAGTACTTGTTCCAGATTGGTTATTACTCTAAGTCCAGGTCTCTTCATTTAAGTGTCGCTCAAGTGAGCTTTTGACCCCAGATGCTTCCTCTAGGCTGGCGACAAAGCCATACCTCCTTACAATCTACAAGGGTGATTAATAATTATGGCCCAGTTTTACCAAGCTTTAGTATAAATATCAGTTGAAAGTCAAAGTGATGAATGTAAAATGAAAACAGGTTCTTGCTGTCATCTGCTGAATAAATAGGTTTGGCAAACTTTGCACTGGCCCCAATGCCTAGAAAAAGTGAAACCTGAACCCTAGGATCTGACTAATTTGTCTCTTGCAATGTTTAGGGGCACAACCGCAGCCTTGACAGACAACAGAATCCGCACAATGAATGAAGTGGTCTCTGGGATCCGGATCATCAAGATGTATGCATGGGAGAAGCCTTTTGCAGCTCTGGTAGATGAAGTCAGAAGGTGAATTATGTTTTATTTACTTATTTTGTGTTTGATTTACATAGTTTACGAAGATTGAGTCTGAATTGTATAGCCTGAAGTCATATTATAACTATTAATACTCTATCAGAACAGTTCCACCATTTCCCAGTGCCTAATCAACCCTATTTTGCAATATGCTTTAGAAAGTGGATACTATCCCAACGCAGAGTATTTCACATGTTGAAGTTTGGTGGAATGGATGTCCTTATGCCTCTCCACTTTGTGCTATTGTATACATTAATTAAAGGTAGACTTCAGCGATATGATGTGGATGCAGAAAGTAAACAGCATAGTGGGTCAATTTCCACAACAACTAAGAGCGTTGAAGCACGAGGCCCAACTTCTCTGCTGTTTTGGTCCCGTGGCTACTACGCTCTAACAGCAAGAAGCGATTCTGTACGCATCTGCAGATACTGTGTGAGAGCGAAGTCTTGCATCTCGCTCATCTCATTATCTGTGGTGCTGCACGTGGCATCGTCATTTTGCTGAGTCTACCTTTTTAAGTCAGTCATCATAGTTAGCCTGGCCAGGCATGAGGACCTGAGGTAGTCAGCACCTGACACTCATGAGTTTTTGACTTTGAATGTGTTAGATTAGTGTTTCTTAATCCTGGTCCTTAAAACCCAAAGGAGCGCACATTTTTGGGGGTTTTATCTCGCTGAGATGTTGCATGCATCAACCAATGGTTGCGTGCCACTCATCAACAGTGCCTTCGGGCACCAGATTGCTATAACATATGATGTAGTTAGCTGATACGTAAAATACCTATCCTGGCATGCGCCAGAAACATCTGAGCAGAGGAACACAACCTTAGTTTTTGGCGTAGAACTACACACCTGATTCTACTAATCAAGGGTTTGATGATGAGTTTATTACTGGAATCAGGTGTGTAGTGCTAGGAGAAGGGGGGGAAAAAAAGGGTCCCTAGGACCAGGAGAAAAAACACTGTCAGATACCTAAATTAAAGATCTCTTATACGACACAAGTATTCTCTTCATTCAACAGAATGTAATCTACTGCCACCCCACTAAAAACGTAGTCCCCCTATATTAAGAGGGGAAGTTAGATATGATCAACATGTTTGTTCTAATATTATACTGTAGGCTAAACCCAAGAGGTCAACATCAGATTTGTGACCTAGCACCCTTCTGCTCCTTAGGCATGGAACTCATCGTGCTGTAAAATCTTTGTAGGAAAACAAACATCTGAAAACCTCTCCCTCTCCTTGTACTTTCAGGAAGGAGATCTCCAAGATCATGAAGAGCTCTTACCTGAGAGGCCTCAACATGGCCTCCTTCTTTGTGGCCAGCAAGATCATCGTCTTCATCACCTTCACTGTCTACGTGTTGATAGGGAACAGGATCTCTGCCAGCCGGGTGTTTGTGGCTGTTTCTCTGTACGGGGCTGTGAGACTCACCGTCACCCTCTTCTTCCCCAATGCCATAGAGAAGGTCTCTGAGGCTCTCATCAGCATCCGCAGGATCAAAGTAAACGCTCCTGGATGAAATTTCCCCTAGGTGCAGATTGAGATCAGCTTCCTCTACCCCAATCCTAGCATTAACAATTAGTGGGAGAAATGCAAAACTGACCCACGATCAGCGTCTAGGGGCAACTTCACCCTACACTAAAGTAAATACACACAGGCATTAACTAGGTACAGCTGGTAGAGTTGAGTATGATACTGCTGTGACACCTGTAGGCTAGAGTACATCATTATTTTACCTGATGGTCTTATGTTCCATTCATGCAGTGATGTAAGGTTTATGTGTCTAAAATGTGTGTTGCTAATCTGATCTTTTTTTTCTCTTTCACAGAATTTCCTTATGTTGGATGAAGTTCGGACGGAGCAGGATCTTAGACTCCCTGTGGCAGAGAAGAAGGACTGTATGGTGGAAATAAAGGATTTAATCTGCTACTGGGACAAGGTGGGGAGGCCTAGTCTTTTGTCCAGTATGGTTGTTTTAACCAAGACTCAAGCTGTTTCAGCGTCAATAGAAAATAGTGCATGTACAAGTCTGCACCAGGATTTGATACCATGCTCCCATCAGTTATCGGCACTCTATGCAACCCTCTAGAAAGCCGCTAGCTTATCGCTTCAGTAAGGACAGTTGACCTTAGATCTCAGGAAGGTGATGTCACTACGCAAATTACCAAGCAGTATCTTCCTTGCTACTATAGGCCTAATCTTGAAGCTGTAAGTGTACAGTAGCCTATGTACTGTAAGGATGTTGTTCACACACTCATGTTCCTCTGTGGTCCCTACAGACAATAGACTCTCCGACGCTGCAGAACCTGTCTTTCACTTTGAGGTCAGATCAACTCCTGGCTGTCATTGGACCAGTCGGGGCTGGAAAGGTCAGACTGACATTTTATACCGTGAAAAGCTCACTACAAGTTAGAGATGAAGATGCATACAGTATGTCTTATGGGGCATATGGCGGCGGGAATATAAGCATGTGGTAGTAGTACTCAACAACCTGAGAATATATCAATGATTATCAGAGCGAGGATATTGCCTTGCCAGTGTTTTGTTCTTGACGGCTGGCTATGCTGAAAGCTTGACCTTAATCTTCATTAAACCCTTAAATGGGCAGTATGCCACTGCATTCCTTAATCAAATTACAATTTACTTTCTAGTCTTACTTTACACCTGGTAGAGTTGTACTGTTTCAATGCCATATCTTAACTTCTGAGAGGCCCACACAGAATGTTGCGACTCTCCAGTGCTTCAGGAATAAAAAGCAACTGAGGAGCAACAATATTCTGTGTGCGAGCCCCTCATTTCTTTATCTAAGTATTATTTTATCTTTTTTTTCTTATCTTTAATAACTTATCTCATATCTTAGTCCTCTCTGCTCAGCACCATCCTGGGGGAGCTGACCCCGGATAAGGGCGTGGTCAAGTTCAAAGGTGAACTGACCTACGCATCCCAGCAGCCCTGGATTTTCCCAGGGACCATCAGGAGTAACATCCTGTTTGGCAAAGAGCTCCACCCTCAGAAGTATGAGAAGGTCCTCCGAGCCTGTGCTCTCAAGAGAGTAAGACTCTCATTGACAAATATTCATAATCTGAATCATTGCCGTTCTGGGTTAAATAGATCACTATAAACGTTCTGTGCAGTGCACTGTGTGAATGTGATTGATTCCCCATGGTAAGTGTCGTAGTCTGCTACTGTCTGTATGTGTAGGACATGGAGATGCTGCCTGATGGGGACCTGGAGGTGATAGGGGACAGAGGGGCCACCCTCAGCGGGGGACAGAAGGCCCGGGTAAGCCTGGCCAGGTACGTCTCTCTCTCTGCCCTTATATCCAAAAGCAGTAGTGGAACACATCCACTTTATATTACAAATAGGGCCAAGTGTTTTCCCTAGCCAGGTCATATGGTCAAGAAAACCAATTTTCTGTCATTATAACATATATTATGTATTGTTTTTAAGTTAAGTATGTATTATAGCTGTTGTGTCATTGGTTAAAGTGAATGAACCCGTGTGTGTGTGTCCTTCCTTCCCAGAGCAGTGTACCAGGATGCTGATATCTACCTGCTGGATGACCCTCTAAGTGCTGTGGATGCTGAGGTGGGGAAACACCTCTTTGAGCAGTAAGTCCTTGAGCAGCTGGAAACATTCCCACTAGCACAGCATCTCTCTCCCACATGCAGTTTGAATACTTTGACAAAACTAGTATGCTGTTTATAACATGGTTTGTTGTGCTGCTATCTGTCTATTTGCCTAGGTGTATCTGTGGCCTGTTGAGGAAGAAACCTCGCATCCTTGTCACCCATCAGCTGCAGTACCTGAAGGCTGCAGACCAGATCCTAGTTCTGAAGGAAGTGAGTGTGTGTATTTGCGTATGGGTGGCTCAAATGGGGTACCATACCATCTCTATTCATGGGTTTCGTCACTATTGTTTTTGAACATTTGTTTAAGGATGACGATCGACTGAGCGTTCTACTCAATGCATTGTCAATTGGCGCTGAGGAAGATTTAATGAACAGGGCATTACAGTGGTTTGGAAATTAAGCAAATAATTAGTAGGAAAACCTTTTGTCATAATTTTGATGTCAGATTTACTTTAGATGCAGTATAATGTTCGCTAGCTAGCTAAGATTGAGGGGAGACCACCGGATTTTAGCATTGCTAGCTATTTTTGACAAACTTTGCAAGCTAATGACGACATTGCTATCTGTCTAAAGTAAATTTGAAGACATGATAATGATGGCAAAGTTGATTCCTACTAAATATTTGCCTTCTTTAGCAATGTCATCGTATTTCCAGGCCACTAGTGTAATTTAGACGAAACCGTCGTAAGCCCCTGTTCAGAATGGTGGGCATCTCTGGACTTTTGGGCACCAATATGGCTGCTGTGTCTGTAGAATGTTCTTAACAATGGCAACGACGTGACAGAGGTGCAAACCATGAATAGCACAAAACTTTGTAAACACACTTCAGAGGGCTGACTAAGAATCTTCTCTTTCTAGGGTCACATGGTGGCGCGGGGTACGTTCACGGAACTCCAGGGCTCCGGAGTGGACTTCACCACGCTGCTGAAAAACGATGAGGAGGACGAGGGGAAGGGGGACACAGAGCCTGCCCCAGGCACACTCACCGGCTCCCCACACACCCTATCCCACAGCTCTATGCCCTCCCTCTCCTCCTCCATGCATTCTGTGATGGAGGGAGTGGACCAACCAGAGGTGGGTAACAGTGTAGTAACACCCTCCCCCCTTTGTGTGTGTGTACTTCCATTCAGTAGCAGTTGAGACAGTGAGACAGCAAACTGCATTGACTATCCATGTCCAATAGAGGTCGCAGAACAAAAACTCTGTTTTTCTGAGACTTGGCTCTCCTCCGACATCCAAACAGAATATATACAACCAGCGGGGTTTACAATTCATTGAATGGATAGGAAGCGGGCTCTCTCTGGCAAGAAGAAAGGCGGTGGCGTCTGCTTTATTACCAATAACAAGTGGTGTGAGGGGGAAACGTACCGGAACTTGCAAGCTTCTGCTCTATCGCCACTGCTTTGTACATCCCGCCCCAGGCAGACACCAAAAATGCTCTCAAGGATCTTCATTGGACCTTGAATAAGCTGAAGACCGCGTGCCTGGAGGCAGCATTCATTGTCGCAGTGGACGCAATTTGAGGTCCGTGCTCCCCAATTACTATCAACACATTGACTGTCCAACTTGCCGAAATTCTAGATTTGACAACTGCTACACGCCTTTTCGACAAGGGAATAAGGCCTTCTCCTTTCGGCAAATCTGACCACGACTCCATTTTGCTCCTTTCCGCCTACAAACAAAGACTTGAGGGAAGTTGCGGTGGTCAGGTCTGTGCAACGCTGGTCTGACCAATCACAATCCATGCTCCAAGACTGTTTTGATCACGTGGACTGTTTTGATCATGTTCCGGGGCGCCTCTGGGGACTAAATCAATGAATACACAGACTCGGTCAACGGATTCATAAAAAAATGCATAGATGATATGATACCGACGGTGTCTTTCAAAACTCACCTGAATCAAAAACTGTGGCTTGATGGCAGCCTTGTCGGGAAACTGAAGGAGAGGGATGCTGCTTATTAATACTGCAAGGAGACCAGGGACCATTGCATGGTTAAACAGTACAAATACGACCTTCGCAGATCGATCAAGATGGAGAGACACAAGTAAAGGGACAAAGTGGAGGAGCAATTCAGCGGGTTGAACACGATGCGTATGTGGCAGGAGCTTCTAACAATCAAGAATTACAAAAAGAAAGCCAGTCATGTCGCTGACACAAACGCCACCCTGCTGGATGAGCTAAACGCCTCCCACTTCGAGCATAACGGCTCTGAGCTGCCGAGGAGAGCCCCTGAGGACAACGAGGGCTACGTGTTTACAGTCTCCACAAAGGACGTATGTAAGAGTTAACCCTCGCAAGGCTGCCGGCCCAGACGGTCTCCCTAGTCGCACCCTCAGAGTATGTGCATACCAGCTAGCTGTTGTGTTTTCGGGCATTTTGAATCTCTCTCTAGCTCAGGCTGTTATCCCCACCTGCTTCTAGATGTCCACTATCATCCCTGTGCCCAAGAAATGGGAAGTAACTGAACTGAATTACTACTGACCCGTAGCACTCATTTCCGTCATCATGAAGTGCCTCGAGAGACAAACACCACCTCCCTCCCAGACACACTCGACCCTCTCCAATTCGCCTATCGCCCTGACAGTTCCACAGACGACGCAATCGCCATTGCAGTACCAACTGCCCTTATGCATTCCTTTTGTCCAGGTGGGTATGTGAGGATGTTGTTCTTTGACTACAGCTCAGCCTTCAATACCATAGTGCCCTCTAAGCTCATCACAAAGCTCTCAACCCTGGGACTGAACTTCTTATGCAACTGGGTCCTGGACTTCTTGATGGGCCGCCCCACAGGTGGTGAAGGTAGCCAACATTACCTCCTCCACATTGATCCTCAACACTGGGCCCCACAAGGGTGTGTCCTCAGTCCCCTCCTGTACTCCCTGTATACCCACGACTGCGTGGCCTCACACAGTTCCAACTCCATCAAGTTCGCTGACGACACAACAGTAGTAGGCCTGGTTACCAACAACGACGAGACGGCCTACAGAGAGGAGGTAGGCACTCTGACGGCATGGTGCCAGGTAAACAACCTCTCCCTCAACGTCAGCAAAACAAAGGAGCTGATTGTGGACTTCAGGAGGAACCAGGTTGGGCACGCCCCCATCCTCATCAACGGGGACACCATGGAGACGGTCAAACATTTTCAAGTTCCTCGGCGTACTCCTCTCCGATGAGCTGAAGTGGTCAAACCACACGGACACCGTGGTGAAGAAGGCACGGCAGTGACTCTTCAACCTCAGGAGGCTGAAGAAATTCGACCTCTCCCCGAGGGCTCTCACAGTGTTCTACAGGAGCACCATCGAGAGCGTGCAGTCGGGCTGCATCACGGCCTGGTACGGCAACTCCACTGCCGCTGACCGCAAGGTTCTACAGAGGGTGGTACGCTCATTGCCTTCCCTTTCGCAGGAAGGCCAAGAAGATCATCAAGGACCTCAGCCACCCAAGTCACGGCCTGTTCTCCCCGCTTCCATCACTCAGACGCACTGTTGGAGCTTGGAGCATAATAATTTCACTGTACCCTGCGATTACATCCTGTGACTTAAACTCATCTACTCTACTGAAGTAAAAACATTTGTCTGCTGCTTCCTCTTTTCTCCCACCAGAGGGCAGTAGATATTCTCGCTTGATCTACCATCACGGTGGGCCTACATCAGGGTTCCCCAACAGGCAGGCCGATTTGCCCGGCGGGTAGTTTTATTTGGCCTCCCAAATTTTCTGAGGCAAAAATACAAAAGTAAAAATGTTGTTGGATGTAAAAGACTGTAAAAACACCAGCAAATCAGCTCAGAGATTTTAGTTTTGGAAATCTGTTCCGAAGTATTCCCATGCATAATAGAGATGTATGTGTGATAGCTTACAAACGTAAGCAAGGTTTGAAATGATTGTTTTAGTCAAATATTATATTTGTTTGGGCTTCTTGCGGTCAATTTGCAGTCTACAAATTATTTCCAATTATGTTCTGGCCCCCTGATCATCTGCTCAAGAAAAAAATTGTCCCGCGGCTGAATCTATTTGATTATTCCTGGCCTACATGTACAGAGTAACTGAATCATTTGCATTACTATTTGTGTGTATTTTTAGCCAGTGCAACACATGGTGGAGGAGAGTCGTTCAGAGGGAACCATCGGTCTCCATCTTTATCTGAAGTACTTCAGAGCAGGCGCTAACATCCTGGTTCTCGTGGCCCTAGTTTTCCTTAACCTGCTGGCACATGTGAGTGGCTTTTACACTACACTATAACACAGTAAAGGTATTTTAATGTAGCAACAAAACCGGAATCACAAATTGGCTATTGAACATTTTCTAACATACAGTAGGAGATCAATGTGATTGTAAGGAATAATGTGAAAGGTAGAACTAATGTGCTTTTTCATATATATTTTCAAGATCACATATATTCTACAGGATTGGTGGCTTGCTTACTGGTGAGAAATTCAATCATTTAATGTTTTGATTTTGTTAATACCTATGTTCAGTTGCTGAATTTGTCCCAAAAATGATTTTGACTTAACATTTATAACCTGTTTGCTTACAAATGAATGAAATAATTGGTCAGAACTTTGTGAGAGCTCATGGTTGATTGGACTTTATTGAAATACCATTGGTTTTATGATCCCCACCTATGGTGTTTTTGTTGACCTTGATGTGTTGCCATTCAGGCTGACCTTGTATCCCGGGTTAGGATCATATTGCTTTGTACCTTGCCTCCAGCTTTCTGCTTTCTTCTATTGATGACTGCTGTGTTTATTTGTCCTTGTGGCTTTCATTCCTCTGTGCCGGGCAGGGCCTCTGAACAGGAGCATCTCAATGTGACGGAGCCCATCCACAATGGTAGCAGTGCCACTCAGCAGCTGGACCTTGACCTTTACTTGGGTGTTTACGCAGGTGAGGCACAGTGAGCTCCGCTCCCTTTGTCTGCCGCTGAGGCTCCGCACAACCCAGCCATTCACTGAGCACATCCCCGGGCTTTGGCTGGAGCCCAAGGCCTTCAAGGCCCAGTGTCTGTACTCTGTGTACGGGCCTCAGCTGCTAGGGAAGATAGGAGTGCTCTTCTTGTCTTCAAGAGTTGGATTGCTCTCAGGTCTGATGTGATTGTCTTCCCATGACTCCTCACCTATTCAGTTTCCCCCTCAGCCTGTGTTCACAGTCACTATTGGCAGCTCAGCCTTTGAGAATAAAAAGTGAATCACTGAGGGAGAGATTGTAGTGGAATCTAGCCCCATTTGGAGTTTTCAAGCCCAACAATGGTGCAGTAAAGTGAACAATTGACCTACTTGGAGCAGGAAGAGGGGAAAAATACTACTGCACACTCCTGATGTATTTTTTATTTTTTTACCTTGTTCTGTTTGGTGTGTAGGTTTAACGGGGGCCACATTCATATTTGGCTTCCTGCGTAGTCTTGTGTTCTTCAACGTGCTGGTGAACTCAGCCCAGACCCTCCACAACCGCATGTTCACTGCCATCCTCCGCACCCCTGTCCGCTTCTTTGACATCAATCCCATTGGTAAGGGGCCCGGCCATTCCAGGGTTATACCGTTCTTCAAGGACACACAGTATGTTTCAAGGAGAGATGCCATCCTTACCTATTTAATTTTAAATGTACAGTAGGTTTGCTTACATTTTGGAGTCCTCATCTTAAATGACCATTCTGTCCACTAGAGTGCAGACTATTCCTGGGACATACCAAAGCTTCTGCCTTGGCTTACATACAGTAGGGTAGATGCACACCTATGTCTGTCCCCACTTTACAACTGCTCTCCACTGAGGTAAACACAAAAACACCTTTAGACAATAGATTTGTATCTGTTAAAATTCAAAATATTAGATTTGATTCAAATCAAATACATGCACTATTCTTAGTAATATTGTTATTAATCAATCTAAATAAATTGTTCACGTAATAATATTTTTACATTTTAGTCATTTAGCAGACACTCTTATCCAGAGCGACTTAGTTAGTGAGTGCATACATTTTTCATATATCTGCTAGATATGGTTACAATTCCTGAGTGATTATTATTACAGGCTTACCTTGACTTTAAAGAGCTACTTGCCACTTTTTAGTTATATGGGGACTGTTTAGGGGTTAAGGACAATACTGTCCATTTGGTCCATCCCAGAGTTGATTTTGTTTCAAATAACTGCTTCATATAAACTAATCATTAAAACCAATCACCCGAGAGGCCAATTCTGAGTCAAAATGCATGTGAAATAAGTCTAGACTTAGGTGTAACGTCTTTTGGAAATGAGTGAGAAGAGGGTTATCTATTAACCATGAGCCTGAACCAAGAAGCAAACAATGATATTGAATGAATACTGTTTGCAGTAGGTCTTGGACAGAGTGTGGTATTTGAACGACAGAGCTGAGCAAATACAGGTCGATTTGCCTTGTGTGTTGTATCAGAAATCTTTGATTATTTAATTAGCTTTATAGGCTGTAGCTGTTTGGACAGAGTGGAGTGGGCATATGGACATGATCTTAAAACTGAGCAAACACTACAACTAAGATTACCTGCTCTAAAGGAGACTTCCTCCTTATCTTCATATAACAAGGCTGCTTCACAATACGTCTCCATATAAAGGCAGTTTCAACAAGTCTACCTAAATTGTTCAATTTGAAGACTAAATTAGTTCTTCCGCATTTTTAAATTTGACTTCATCTGAAAGTTGATGGTTCTGTGGTAAATGTATGTTTAGGTAAGGTAATGTCATTGCCCATTTTCATTCATATCCCAGGTCAAATGTCATGGGCCACTTTGATAACTAGTCTTTTTCTAGGCCATTGTTCACCTGTCGGCACATAATTACTCAGGCTAATCTCTCCATAGTGACATGCATGTACAGCACAATCAGCACGGTTGGGAATTTTCAGCATGAAGGAAACTTTTATCAGTATAATGAGTCACAAAAGATGGTAACAAAACTGCAAGTATGATTTGAGGGTGTTTTTCGGTAGCGTTGTGGTTTCTGTTGGCATTAGAAGTGGGTGTAGCGAGGCAGGTTGCGTTTGGAGCAAACACTGTGGGTCTTAATCTTAGGGTTTTGTTTTTACTGCTGCCGTTCTGTTGTGTGCTCGTCTACCTGACGGCTTATCTGGGCGTGTACCTCCCTGGTAATCTACACATAGGAGGAGCACAAACAGTTTGAATAATGTAATAATCTGTTTAATAGCGCAGTAAAGGAGAAGCTTAACAGACACTGCTATCTGATTGCTGTTGTGTTATCAGTAACCATTGATGGACTGGTCCAATCATTCCAGCTTCAGCCCTAGACTGGAAAACACTCCAGTATGTCTGACCGGATTCAGATCAGACACAACAACGTTATATTAGAACATAGGTTCTCCTCTGGCCCACCCCCCAAAAAAAGACATTGACAACATATCAAACCACCACAACATATTTCTGCCAGTTTTGAATGGCATTCCCAAGGTTTGTCTATCTGTTATGTAGTCTTCTAAATCATGCTGTACTTTTCCCATGCTGTAATTGTGAAGTAGGTACATCCCGTGAATGAATAGAACGATAGACCGAGCTATTGTCATCAGGGGCATTGTCAGCACTGGTATTACTGTCTCTCTCTCTCTGTTGTGTTTTTCTCTCAGACTTTTTGCAGCATAATGTCTGTGACTTTCCCTTGTTGCCAACAGAAGTGTGAGTGATGCACTTGTAATTGTGCCCGCGTTGTTAAGGATATGACAGCTGTTTACACTTGTAAGTGATGTGTGCTGCTGCTTCTGAACAGGCCCTGTGTTTGATACGTTGTTGGCTGCCAATACAGTCTTACTGGGAGTTAAAGGTTACCACTGCACAAAAGTCTTCTGTGTCATGCGATAGATGTGGTTTGTATAACAATTGAACTAATCAATGGCGGGTTATGATTGATGGATAGCTAGTCTAGATAGCTATTGTAGCTCCGCAATACTGTATGTTTGGCTGAATGACTTTGGAGGCTTTTTTCGTGATATTCGATTGTTTGACAATCTTATTATGTCTAGATAGATTTAAGTTGGTTATGATGCGTAAAACAACATTTGACTGAATATCCAGATATAACACGATAGCTGTTTCTTTCAACATGATACTCACATGTTTTGTGATTATCACTGCTCAACCAATGTGTTCCATTGAGAGCAGCAGTGGATGTGTTGAGCTGATGTTGATCCCTTTAATTTAGTGTCATTGAATGGGCTAATCCCCTCAGAGACTGCAGGCCCAGGCCGATCAGCACAGTTCCGTAGTGAAGTATCAGCGGTCATCACACACACGTACCTGCATAGACACGCATGCAGGCAACACACACACACACACACACACACGTACCTGCATAGACACGCATGCAGGCAACACACACACACACACACACATACACTCTCCCTTTAACATCTACCCTCACTTATCAGCTGAGAGTTCAACTCCAGTGTCTGTTGACACAGGGAAATGTCAATACAATGTCTATGTAACAACAGGACAATCTAACTGTGTCTACGGAGGCAATGTTTTTAATGTCTATATTTGTTATTTTGGGCTCCAGTATCAGTGTAGGAGAGAAGTGGTGAAAGAGCTGCAGAGAGGACGATGATATCGAAGTGTGCAAATTGAATGTGGAGATGGAGCCGTGTGTGTGTGTGCAGTGTGGCTGATAGGGCTCTCCTTCACTCACCACTTCCACTATTTAATTGCATGAAAGGGAAGTGGAGGAGATTGCAGGACCCTGGAGGTGTGAGCGGAGAGAATGGATTTAGAATGTATTAGTATTGGCAGCAAGGTGCCGGCGGGGCGGGGTGGGGAGGCGGCCCCGGCCCCCAGGCCTCTGGGCTTCACAAGAGTTCAGGTGAGCTGTAGCCCACCACCTCAGCAGCCTCCAGCCCCAGCAGCAGTCAGCCCACTCCCCAATTCCCTGCATTATCGCTCCCGCCTCAGTGAAAGGCCGGCCCAACAGCAGCGGGGCCCACACATGGAGTGGCTCATAGTGGCCCCCTTATCTAGATGTTTACAGGGAACAGCGATTTGCCACACGCCCTGCTCCAGCTCCAGACCCCACTGTTCCACTGCTTCAACTCTGATCGGAGAGCCCTGCTCGCCTAATGTCTCCACCCAAGGGGCCGCTACCTCGCTCGGAAAGGCCTGACATTTCGCCAGCCCCCCAAAAAGTGGTGCAAATCACCCCTGGAGACTAACACCATGAGAAATGGTTTGATATTAATGCTACTGATATCCTGAAATTTCTATCCCCCTCCACCACACAATATGTGATATTGTTGACAGCAACCAGTCGTGATTGAAGCTATTGTTCCGGACCTGTCTTACCTCATAGGCATTTCCATGCACTGAATGTCTTTGTGTAACTATATCCCTGTAATGGATCTTACCTATAGTTTGTTGAGGGATTTCAGGTGCATCACAGTTGAAACGGCGAGCTGCTAGTGAAACAGCTGATTGCTCTCTGGTGCGCATACCCCCTGAAACCATGGTATGATGTAACTCGGGGTAATGTATCCTGTTTCTGTACGTTTTTGTTTGCTGGATTCACATGAATTTAGGTCATCTATGGCTTAGACAGTAACATTATACATGCGTTATAGGATCTTCCACAAACACAGTTTGACAAATAATTCACCCCCCTCCTGTTTCCAGAAGAAAGCGGAGAGACTAGGAAAATAACAACAGTCAGCCGCGTTACTTCCCCCTTGGCTTGAGCCCTCCCCTCAGGAAGTCTGCATGCTAAAGGGCCACTCACACTGTGAATAAGATTAGTCTGCCTCCAAGTGTACAACATGCTTACGCCACTTGACTTTGAATCAGTGCTGATTTGGAGGCATTGCTGGGTTGTAAGGGGGAATAATGCTCCGGCTGGGTTTATGCAATGGCTGTTATGGAAAGCCCTGGCCTCGTCTGCATGCATGTTTTTAGGCGGGAGCGGGGAGCAGCAGCGGTGGTTTTGGATAAAGCTGTAAGCTGCTTATGGCCGTGGAGAGTAGTGATTACAGGGCCCACCACCATGGGACCCTCTGGGAGCTGCCGAGACAACTTTTAGGTCACCTCCACATCCCTCCAAACCACCCCTCCATTCTCCCTGCCTTCCTATAGTCAGCTAGCTCCCTCCTGGCTGCTCTAACTGAGCTGGCAGTGTGTTTGGAGAATGAAGCTCACTACAGGGAGGTGAGGCCCTGAATACTAGAGGCCTGCCTAGCATACACTCCATTTATGAACCAGATAGTACTACGCGTGTGGTGACCTGACACATTGTGAGTGGGTTGTTATGGTGAGTCATTCTGACACTATCTTGAAGTAAAAGGGATGACAATCAACGTGCAGTCTGTTAGTGTCCTTCAGCCAATTCAAGTGGTGTTGTCACTCCTAGCCCTACATGGTGCTGAACAGCATCCGGCCACACTGTTCAATCTGAAGTATTCTTCCTCCAAGCCAAGTGATATGAGAAGCGCTCCTTTCTGTCCTGCCAGTCTCTCTGCCCATGGCTTTGGGATTAGCTATGACTGGGCCTTACAGTAAACTGTGTGTGCTTGTGTATGTGTGCGTGTTTGTGTGAAAGCAGCTGGAGTGTAATCTTATGTACTCGGGGATCAGGCTGGGGAGCAACGTTTGTAAAGGATGCACAATAAAGGGCGTCAGGAACACCTGCAGAGCCCCACTCCCTCCCGCTCCAGAATAATGAACACCTGAGCAGATTGGACGCAACTCAATTAACGTCATTGACTCTGGCAGTCAGGACAGAAAGGCAGGTACGGAGATTCTGTTTCCCCTTTGTTCCCAAACAAAAGGGTCCCCAACGTATTCAGTCTAGAGTAGGGCAGGCTTTATGCAGCCTAGACCAAATAATGATTCATTGTTTAATTTAGATAAGCCTCTCTATTTGTCCATCTGATATCGCCCTCTCAAGGTGTATATACATCATTCTATTAATATAGCAGCCACCTAGGTAACAGAGATTAATTTCAATAGAAGCAGCAACGGACTGTTGCAAAAGGAATCTAAAACATTATTGAGTAACGTCTTACGTTGTGTGCAAAGTCCGCGAACAAATTAGTCCATGGATTAGAAATATTATGCTCTCTTGATATGTAGTGTTGTTCCTCCCAATGTACGACAAGCTGACTTAATGGTGCGATTCAACAGAAGTCGAAATGAGTCATGTTTGCGCACCGCCCTGTGAATAGAATTCCTACTACTGTAAGTCTTAGACAATGTCACATCAAGCTTTCCTAAGGTTTAACTAATGTGAAACTCAATCACACCAATTTGTCAATTTTTTTATTTTTCAATACGTTTTTTAAAAGCTAATGCTAATCAACATCACACACCATAGTGAAACTAGATACTACTACTTGACAGTGCACACATGGTGCAGAATACCCTCATTGGTCCACATGTCTAATATGTAACCTCTGTGCTCCATCCCCTGTTGTGACCCAGGAAGAATCCTCAACAGGTTCTCTAAGGACATCGGTCACCTGGACTCTCTGCTTCCCTGGACCTTTGTGGACTTTATCCAGGTGAGTCTCACCTCACCAGGTTCCTGCTGCCTGCCTCTCTCTTCTACTGCATGGGGAGGCCATTTCATGCCTGGCTAGTCCTGCTTTGTGGTCCGGGTCCCCTAATCTGGAAACAATTACTGTAGGATTACCCGCCAGCGCGGCCCAGCGCCCGCACAGATTTAATAAAAGTGTCTGCACATAGGCAGAGGGTGTGGCCGTGGCTGCCTGGCGGTGCCACGACACAGGCCGCGACGCCAGGGAATGTGTCAGGAGACTAGCAGAGTGATTGGGAGAAAGAAAGGTACCACATAGGAAATAGTGGCTACATCAGGAAGATGTGGGAGATGAGGCGGTGGTGAGTAGGAAGGAGAAGGTAGGAGGATCTCTGGAGTGGCAAAGAGAGGGAGTGTGAGTAGCAGCCATGTAATATGTGGATGGATGGATGGATGGATGGACAGAGGTGCTGGAAGGGAACAGTAGAGGAGGAATGGGACAGGTCAGTTGAAACAGAGAAAAGGAGACTATCCTCTAGCATCCTCTCCTGGCTGCTTGTCTACTGCAGGCCTGGTAGCCAAGGCCCACCCTGACGCATAGCCAGGTAAAGTTACCCACCGCCACCACACAGCAGCGCAACAATAATCTCCCAGGAAAGAAAGGCCTGCGAAGATGAGCCAGCTCATGCACCTAGCACCACAAAAGAGGGAATGTTCGCCGCACAATCCGGTGTAGAGCAGCAGGCGTGGCTCCTTGGTTAGGGCCAAAGAAAGGAACAAAGCTGGGCTGAAAACGAATCCCTCCTCCACAATGCCTGAGTGATGTTTGTGGCAGATACCCATCTCACAGGAGACAAAGCCATCTTAAATGGTGAAAGCACAAAAGATCATAAGCACAAAGGCTTTTTGTCCACCATAGTTTTCCCATTTTAATAATAAGGTGGATAATGGGCAGAATAAAATAACGCTGCGGAGGGCCTGTAGCACCAACTGATAAACTGTTAAAGCTAGACTAGGTCATAACAGAACAGAGTCTTGTGTTTGTGTTGCACATACTCTATAGCTTCATGTTTATCCATCTCTTATTGTAGAAACACAACAGAAGTTTAACAATACGCAAATAACATACACTATCTTTTAATTATTGTATTATGTTCATTGTTTTGCTGTGAGAAAATATGTGTAGCCTAGGCAACCCATGTTAGAACTAGGCTTTTGTTGATTTGAACTAGCTGGTCAAATCTAATATTGGAGCCCAGCCAGATACCGTGCTGGCACTATGTATTCACAATGTGGTCTTATACTGCAAGATAAATAGGGACTCATTGTGTGAGCGACAAAGGTGGCATCATTTCCCTTACAACAAAAAAAACACATGCCAAATTTGCAGTTTCACACATGTGAAATCTCAGTTTTACATGTGAAATCTGTTTTCACATGTTGACCTTAAATTTCACGTGAAACCATATTTTCATGTGTATTAAATTTAGAGTTAAAATGTTAACACCACTTTCACATGAGTTGCTCATGCGAAATTAATGGTTTCACATGTTAACTTTCACGTGAAAATTGGATATGCAGTTTTACATGTGAAAGTTCGATTTTCATATGAAAAAAAATTTCACATGTGGAATTGCGAGTTCATGTGGTGGTGAAATAGTTGTATTCTCCTTACATGTGAAATGGTGGTGTAGAAATGTTTCCACGTACAGTATGGAATTGCAAATTCTGTAATGCCATTCTGTAAAAAGGTAACTTAGCCTAACTAATAATAATAATAATAATAATAATAATAATAGAAATAATACTTAACACACACTATTATTATTATTGATGTCTGAGCCATCAATTCAGAGTGTTACTGTTGCAGGCACACGCCTCTCTTCTTCATACGTTGGTCAGTGACCGTTGGAAGAAGCCCAGTGAAAAGAATAGAGAAACTAGCGCTGCTTGTCTCCTTATTTATCTGTTTTAACATATTATAATTAGCACTGTCAGAGTTGATAAGTTAAAGATGCACTCCGGGATCTTAAACACAACATACTGTACGTAACATATTGCACTATTTGGATTTGTACCATATCAGACGAATTGCAAAATTCGTAACATATCACACGAAATGGATGATGTAGTACACAAAAAATGGTACACAAAAAACGGGGACCTGTTTTGGCTCGTGAGCACCACTTTCAAAACTACTGGCTGAAATTATACAAGTTTGAGAGTGCATCTTTTAACTCAAGTTAACTTTTTGAAAGCGTTCAAAATACACTGAAAACATCCAAAATACATCATCTATACAGGTAAAAACAACAATGCGATGTCAAAACAAGTTGACTTTGAGGTGTGTTTATCCATTTACCTGATTTTGCTAACTGTTACTTTGTACAAAATCTAAACAGCAATATTCTTGAAATGCTTTCTGTATAAAACAAATATTTCAATTACAGCTCCAAGTTTAGCAAATTATGAATTTGCGCTTAATCGTGATTAATCACAGCAAATCCTGCAATAAACTCAGTTACATTATTTTATGATTGACAGCACTAGTTGACATTCAAATGTGAAAATGCACATGTGAAAGTGTAGAGGTCATGAGTCGGTCATGGTTGCTCATGGTCACATGATGAGGTAGCCCTGCCCGCGACATCAACATTAGTGTTGGTCCTCTTGGTTCTGTGGTCAAGACGTCATCGTCTCCCGTGGGAAACCCAGGTTTGAATCCCGCCAGTTACAAAATCACACATGTGAAACGTATAATATCACGTGAAATGTCTGAGTCAATTTTCATGAGTCAGACATGGTTTTCGGACACGTGTGACGTTTAAAATTAATTGTTCACCATTTTCCCATGTGACATTTTTCCCATGTGATTTGTCAAAAATTCATGTGAAACGTCTCACGTGTCCAAAAACAATGTGTCTGACTCATGAAAATTGACTCAGACATTTCACGTGATATTATACGTTTCACATGTGTGATTTTGTAACTGGCGGGAAAAAGTATATATTTTTTGTGATTTGTTCACACGGGATTTCTTAATACATGTGTCTGAACCACGCTTTTACACGTGATATTATTTTTCTATTTTTTTGTAGACGTTGGACAAGTGCTTTTGTTTGCCGCTCTTTCTACTCTTGTTTGCAGGTGCCTTTTATGGAGCACTCTTTTAATGCTTTCAGGAAGGAAGATTTTCACTCTTTTTATCAAAGTATTAGCCGGACAGAAAAGCTGCTGATCCTGACCATTGTTGCTCATTCTTGGAGGGACATTTCCCCACGGTCATTGTTTAAATGGTTGTCAGGGGTAATAAAGGTAAACTCCATAAACAATGGCCTAAGTGGTTTATCTCCATCTGTGGGGAGAGGCCGCCTCTGTGTGGGGATTTGCATCAGAGCTGGGCCCTTTATGGTGGAGTGAGCGCTTCACAGCCATCACCCCCCCCCCCCCAATACACTTCCTAACAAGGGGATTCCCTCAACTTCGGGAACCCAGTTACATTCCAAAGCCATATTTTTTCACGGGTTTCATTTAGTCGCAATTTAGTATTTTGAAAAAAAGTGCAATTTTCTCTTCCCTCTGTTATGGGGACAAAGACAGAAATGTCAATTAAAAGCACCTCAGGCAGTGTAGACGGCCGGCCTTTGTGTGGACTTGACCTTTAAATCCTGGGTTGCCTGTGCTTTGAGAGATGGGGCAGGACAATACAGGGGGCTCTGAATGGACCCATCCCTTGTGAAGGCTCTTGACCAAGTCACACCACTAACTGTGGGGTCCCTGCCTACAGTCATTGGCCATCAGTTAAAATGTTGTTTGTCAGTAGAATCTGGGTAAGAGACCAAGTCTGTTTGGACTTACGGGACTTCAGAGGGATATTTAGTATGTTTTAAAAATAATTATATCCCTACATTTTGCAATGTTGTTTGGATTCTGAACTAAATATTCCAATTAGTTTTCTGGTGACCTTTAGCTTGAGTGGGACTGACCCTGGTCTCACCAGTTAGTAACAAGCAGAGGCCAACACAGCCCCCCGTCATAAATTACAGCAGGAAAGCATCGGTGGTCTGGAGGTGGGAAGAGAACAGTCTGAGTGTACAAGAAACACTTTGAAGACACATAGGGCAGAGGATGGCCATTGTTTGAAAACACTGGCGGGTGGATCAGTGATCGCTGTGCGAGACTGTATATTGTGGTACATTGTGTGGTGGGCCTCTTCTCTGGTTTTGTGGGCTATGAGAACTGCTGATGTAACCGTGAGTGCTGTGTGGGATGGGATTTCACCGGCTTTCTCTGGTGCCATTACCAGCCGGGTGACAGAGGAAGTGAAGAATGCATTGGCTCCAGGCACCACACATACCTGGTTAGTCAGAAACACTAGAGGTCGATCCATTATGGAAATATATATGCCATAAATTCCTATTGAACATTGTTATCTGACAGGACCATTGTCTTGCTGCTCACGGTGGAAAAACATGAGTGACACAGAAAGGTGAGAGGCTGAAAATATTCAGTAAACTAACATTTTGGGTTGTGTACTTGTGTATTTTATTTAGTTGTTGCACATGCACTTTTATCATTTAGAGTGTGTGTGTCACTCATTCATTCTCTCTCTCTGTGTCTGTCACTGTGTCTTTCTGTGTGTCTGTGCATTAGGAAGGGGGTTAGTTGTGACTCTGACACCTAGCAGTACCTCTCATGGTGATGGCGAGTAGGCACTGGCCTGTGAAAAGATCCAGAGTCTCTGTGTGGTCTGGTCTCTCATGGCACTGTGGTCTGGCACATCTCCTGACTCAGCCAAGCTGGACAACCACTGCTATGAGCCTGGGAACCCGGAGAGAGCGCGCGCGCGCGCACACACACTCTAGTCTACTAGGCTTTGCCCTGAGACCGCACCAACAACTCTATCAGGAGGAGGATGATACCATATGATGGCTTTGACTATAAGGCTGCTATTGTAGAACATGTATTGTAGTTTCCTTCCTGTTTCTACGAAAATGTTTGTGTTGTGGTTTGTGTGTGTGACTGACAGACTGAGCGAGAGAGAAAAGGGGGCGGTTGTATGGCTGTATGTGAGGGCATGCAGAGTGCTGGGCAGGCAGGGCAGCTGCTTTCTGGTGGATGCTAGTGATTTATATGAGAGAGAGAGGGAGAGCATTTCAAAGCCTTTCTCTTATTTCCAAAATGGGGGTGGAAATCAGCAGCTTGACTGAGCTCAAATAAGTGACTTCTCTTACCTTTTCACAGCACACAAAGGCCTAATCCTGGGACTACTTGAGCCACCAATGTAGACAGCGACTGAGACCACCACAGTATGTGTCAGGCCCTCCTCACCACACACAAAACACATTGACTGCAGCTTTATGAAGTGAAAATGGCACAGAAAGGGAAAATGTGAAGGAGGTGTCCACAGTAATTTCTCCCAAAGAAAGGCCCCAGCATCTGGGCATTTAGGGGTAAAATAAAGCCCAAAGCAGAGCAGAATGGATTGGGTCACTCCTATTGTACCAGAGCCCAAGTGGAACGGCCTTGCTTTGTTTCAGTACCACTGACCCCTACATTTTATTGTGCCTACTCTGTCAGGGAAACCCTACTCTGTCAGGGAAAGTGTGTGGTGAAAAAAATCTAGCGATGACAGAGGATTTTCTTTACCCCTTTTCTCCCTCCATTTCCTGTTTTGTTTGTGGTTTTTTCCCCCCAGCAGCCGTCTCTCTCTCAAACACTGCACGCTGTCACTAAAGAAAGGGGAGGATGAAAAAAGAGTTGTAAAGAAGCGTACCGAGTCCTCATGTCCGGAGGGATGTTTAATTGTCGGGAAGTGTTTATGCTCCGCTCTGGAACAACAGTTGCTATCAGCACCCAGCACAAATATAGCAATTAACTTCAATTTTCTACATTTATTTGGACATCAAAGACCTGATGGTATCACCTCCCAAAATAAAGCAATTAGGGGTCAGTGGAGATGTGAATGGTCTTTGGGCCCAGCAGTGTGCCCTGTTGGTATGAATGGGCTGCATGGCATCGCATACCTACTGTAGCTTTCTTCTTTGGCTAAAGAGCAATTAGAGGTAATGCTTTATTTAAACTGTTTATATACAAAAGCTTTTATCCACTTTTATGTGCAGCGGGCTATGGCTTGCCTCGGACAGGGAGTTGTCCTGTTGTTCCTGTGTGGTTGCCGGGGGGGGGGGGGAGTCGGGGTATATGTGATGTGGATGAGGACAGGGGGTTGGTGGGGGAGGTAGGTCAGTGCTTATCGGGGCTCATCTGTGTGTAGTGTGGGTGGGGGCCGTGGTTTTTCTCCGATGCTGACATGATAAGCGGCAGACCACGCAAATGCCTGAGATCAAACAGCTAAGGCCTTGGCGACAGTGTTGCCCAGGGGAGCAGGAGAGGCTGTGGCAGGACTCCTCTCTCTAATGGATCCTACTGCCTCCTAGACTCCTTCCTTCCCCTCAGATGACCCTACTGTCAGACACTCACAGTAGACAGTAAAGAATTAAATGGGCTTTACACTAGACTACCAGCAGGCCAGTTTTGTCGCATCTCAGGGATTTGAAAAGGACTCCGCTAGTGTTACATACTGCACATCATGACACATCACTGTAGCAAAGCTCAAAATCAAAGTTTTTTGGTAAAATAGTGTTATTTCAACTATTGACAGAAAATAAAATAGGCCTACACATTTGTTGAAATGTGTAAATAGTTATGCCAGTCACTCAGTGTGAGCTTGGATAACATGCGGTAATAGTGTGCGTCGCTCCCATCTCACTTTGCAGTCCGGTAGCCTTCCATCATAGCCCAGATTGAAACTTATGTACTGTGAAATTCTTGGGATCAGTTGTGCTCAGTAGTTTCCACTCACTGCTTGATTGTGTGTGCTGCAGCGCGGCGATGGTGGGGCTGGTAATACCTTCTTATCTGCACTGTAAACGGAATTGAGTGGCTTTTCATCATAAAACGACATTGAAAGTGATCATGCTTAAACGTGCGCTTAAGCGCCCGATAACATCCATAATTAAGGTGCTAAATTAAATGTTCATCTGGGAGGGCTAGTCTGAGACCATTGAAGGTAACATACTGATCCTAATCTGTTCGTCTTAGAAGTCATTTTTGAGTTTGTCTCTAATTTCAGGGTGTGAGGTTTCAATTTTATCAGCTATCTAGTGAATATCAAATATGCCGTGGCAGTATATCTTTAAGGTAAAATATGTAGTGAAGGACTCTCTCATACCGGTTTATTATAATGCAATCTACCAAGTTAAACTGTTTAGTTAAATAAAACTAGTTTTCAGATTTATGAGTTGTTTGTACTAAAATAATACTATATACAAAGATCATATTTGTGAAAAGAGTATCTACTCTATCCACCAAGTTAAACCAATGAGAATCATCTGATATACAGTACAGTGAAATAATGCACTGCAAGGTCCTCAATCTCTGTCATTGGGTAGGAAACTGGTGTTTCTGCAGCCACCAAGGTTTCCGGTGCTGCTGTGTCACTGTCTGCAGTCCCTCCCGTTCAGGCATCAGATTGCATGTGGCTAGTGGTCTACCTGCGTCAGGTGGCCATTAACAAGAGTGATGAGTCATTGTGTTATTGAGGCCTATGTCAGGGCTATGCGGTCTGCGTGTACTGAAGTATCAGACACCCACAGTGTGGTTCCCACAGCTCTCTGCCAGTCACAGTGACTATACAATGCCTACTGGCTTAGGCCACAGCAACTTGGCGAGGGAGGCTTAAACCTTAGGTGTTGAAGGGAAAGCCCCTGGGGGTTAGGGTTAGGGAGGTGAGCCACAGTGGAAGAGCGGCAAATTGTCACCTGCCACTAAGTGCCACCATCCTCTCACCACTGTGACACACACGCACACACTCTTCACATAGGCTGCTGCTACTCTGTTTATTGTCTCTCCTTATTGCCTAGTTACTTTTTCCCCTACCTACATGTACGTATTCCCTCTACCTCGTACCCCTGCACATTGACTCTGTACTGGTACTCCTTGTATGTACCCTCATTATTGTTATATTATTTTGTTACTATTTCCTTTTTTTTGGTGCATATTTTACTTACTTTTTAACACTGCGTCGTTGAGAAAGGGCTCGTAAGTAAGCATTTCATGGTAAAGTCTACACCTGTTGTATTCGGCCCCTGTGACAAATATGATTTGATTTGACACACACTCTCCTAATGTTGCTGTCACCTTCTGCCTTTGGAGCTGTGACAGAAAACAAGAGGGTTGCTTACATCATCCCTAGTGTAAGGACAGGCCTCCAACTTCAGCGGTAGCCCACAAGTCAGCAGGAGTCCATTTACTGAGCTGATGTTGAGCTCACCACACCGATCTGTTCTCTCCCTCGGTGTTCTGTCTCCCAGGTGTTCCTGCAGATCCTGGGGGTGATCATTGTGGCGGCTGCCGTCATCCCCTGGATCCTCATCCCCATCGTCCCTCTTCTCATCGTCTTCCTGTTCCTGCGACGCTACTTCCTGCAGACCTCCAGGGACATCAAGCGCCTGGAGTCCACCAGTAGGCTTCACTGTCTTTAGGGACATGTCCGTTTATGGTGGGAGACAAAGGGAGAGCTAGCGCGGGAATGCTAATAGACCATTGAATAGCATTGAAGAAGGCCCTGTGCATTAGCATAAAAGGCTAAAGGTGGTTGTGGCCCATGGGTTGCCCACACACAGTTTCCTTAAGCGCTGGGAGTTCATGGCATCAGATACAATGGAGGAAATGCCAAGTGGGCATGGCGGGCCCGTGGCAGGCACTAGTTCATCCTCTGTATTCATCCTCTTTATTCTGGGCTGATAGAAGGACCGGTCCGCTGATCTTAAGGAACAAAAGTGGCTATTAAGAAGCTCCAATGGAACGTTCAGGCTTTGTCTCTGTTTTTATGAAGCCTAACGTTAATACATCTGGACTACAGGAATGCTAATATTAGCCATTTTCTTTAAACCATTTCTTTCAGAAGCACTGCTTTTGGTAGCAAGGTGTACATGAAAATGTATGGGAGACGTGCATGAGGGGTTATCACGTTAACTGTCATGTCAGCTGAGCTTTATAACAAAACAGACAATTGAATGTGTTCATTCGTCTGTATTGAAGCCGGATTTAACCAGCTTTGTACAGTCTAGCAAAATGGTGTGTTCTTTTGAAAGAAATGAATAAACACTGTGTATACTAGAGGTGTTTTAAATGTTAACTTCTTCATTCAGAATTTGGTTGTTATCCTCTACAGCCCGGAGCCCAGTTTTCTCCCACCTGTCCTCATCCCTCCAAGGTCTGTGGACCATCCGTGCCTTTAAAGCCCAGCAGAGGTTCCAGCAGGCATTTGACGCACATCAAGACCTCCACTCCGGTAAGAACCAGAACTGATGTCTACACACAGAATTACATGTTTTAATTTGGTGTAAAAACTATAGTATACAATCAGTAACCATGCTGTGTTCCTTTTGCAGAGGCCTGGTTCCTATTCCTGACCACATCCCGATGGTTCGCAGTGCGTCTGGATGGCATCTGCTCCATATTTGTCACCATCACTACCTTTGGCTGCCTGTTCCTCAGGGATGGTACAGTATGGCTCCTATATCAACCATAATAATAATCACCTGGCCATACATATAATCAACAGTATACACCACATACTCTGCAGTACTTAGAGGAACATGCAGTACAGTGAGTTAGTTTCTCTCTTTCCTGGTGTGACAGACTTGAAGGCAGGTGCTGTGGGCCTGGCTCTGTCCTATGCAGTGACCCTCATCGGCATGTTTCAGTGGGGAGTCAGACAGAGTGCAGAGGTGGAGAACATGGTAAAAACCTCTTTACTGATTAGATCAATGTCTTGACTTGCCTGGCTGAAGAAAAGTTGAATAATATAGTTAGCTATTAAAATAATGTAGCTATACTTGTTTCTAGTTTTGCTAATGTACAGTGCATTTGGAAAGTATTCAGACCCCTTGACTTTTTCCACATTTTGTTACATTACAGCCTTATTCTAAAATGGATTATATTGTTTTTTCCCCTCATCAATCTACACACAACACCCCATAATGACAAAGCAAAAACAGATTTTTAGAATTTTTTGCAAATGTATAAAAACTAAAAACTGAAACATTTACATAAGTATTCAGACCCTTTACTCAGTACTTTGTTGAAGCACCTTTGGCAGCGATTACAGCCTTGATTCTTCTTGGGTGTGACGCTGATTTTAAACACCTGATTTTGGGGTATTTCTCCCATTCTTCTCTGCACATCCTCTCAACCTCTGTCAGGTTGGATGGGGAGCGTCGCTGCACAGCTGTTTTCAGGTCTCTCCAGAGATGTTCGATCGGGTTCAAGTCCGGGCTCTGGCTGGGCCACTCAAGGACATTCAGAGACTTGTCCCGAAGCTACTCCTGCATTGTGTTGGCTGTGTGCTTAGGGTTATTGTCCTGTTGGAAGGTGAACTTTTGCCCCAGTCTGAGGTCCTGAGCGCTCTGGAGCAGGTTTTCATCAAGGATCAATCAAATTGTATTTATAAAGCCCTTTTTACATCAGCAGATGTCACAAAGTGCTATACAGAAACCCAGCCTAAAACCCCAAACAGCAAGCAATGCAGATGTAGAAGCACGGTGGCTAGGAAAAACTCCCTAGAAAGGCAGAAACCTAGGAAGAAACCTAGAGAGGAACCAGGCTCTGAGGGGTGGCCAGTCCCCTTCTGGATCTCTCTGTACTTTGCTCCGTCCACCTTTCCCTTGATCCTGACTAGTCTCCCAGTCAATACATGTTAGAAACACCTTTGGCAGCGATTACAGCTGTGAGTCTTTTTGGGCAAGTCTCTAAGGGCTTTGCACACCTGGATTGTGAAATATTTGCCCATTATTCTTTTCAGAATTCTTTAAGCTCTGTCAAGTTGGTTGATGATCATTGCTAGACAGCCATTTTTAAGTCTTGCCATAGATTTTCAAGCAGATTTAAGTCAAAACTAACTAGGCCACTCAGGAACATTCACTGTCTTCTTGGTAAGCAACATAAGTGTACATTTGGCCTTGTGTTTTAGGTTATTGTCTTGCCGAAAGTGTCTGGTGGAAAGCAGACTAAACCAGGTTTTCTGTTTATCTTTATCCTGAAAAACTCCCCTGTCCTTGCCGATGACAAGCATACTCATAACATGATGCAGCCACCATCATGCTTGAAAATATAGAGTGGTAATCAGTGATGTGTTGGATTTGGCCCAAACATAATGCTTTGTATTGGGCACAACAAGTTAATTCCTTTGCTAAATTTTTTGCAGTATTACTTTAGTGTCTTTTTGAAAACAGGATGCATGTTTTGGAATATTTTTTATTCTGTACAGGCTTCATTCTTTTCACTCTGTAGTTACTCCACAATACTAATATAAAACAACTGTTGATCCATCCTCCTTTCACAGCCATTAAACTCTGTAACTGTTTTAAAATCAGCATTGGCCTCATGGTGAAATCCCTGAGCGGTTTCCTTCCTCTCCGGCAACTCAGTTAGGAAAGATGCCTGTATCTTTGTAGTGACATCCAAAGCCTAATTCATAACTTCACCATGCTCAAAGGGATATTCAGTGTCTGCTTTTTTTACCATCTTCCAATCGGTGCCCTTCTTTGCGAGGCATTGGAAAAGCTCCCTGGTCTTTGTGGTTGAATCTGTGCTCGAAATTCACTACTCGACTGAGGGACCTTACATATAATTGTGTGTGGGATACAGAGATGGGGTAGTCATTATAAAATCATGTTAACCACTATTATCCATTTAACTTTTCATGTGATTTGTTAAGCATATTTTTACTACTGAACTTATTTAGGCTTGCCATAACAACGGGGGTGAATACTTACAGTGCATTCGGAAAGTATTCAGACCCCTTGACATTTTCCACATTTTGTTACGTTACAGCCTTATTCTAAAATTGATTAAATTGTTTTTTCCCCATCATCAATCTACACACATCATCAATCTACACACAATACACCATAATGACAAAGCAAAAACTGGGTTTTAGAAATGTTGCTCCATTAATCTTTCCCTCGAGGGTCTGAATAAATATGTAAAGGTATTTCTGTTTTCTTATTTTTTTAATACATTTGGAAACAAAATCTAAATAATCTTTATAGGGGATTGTGTGTAGATTGATGAGGAACATTTTTAATTTAATCAATTTTAGAATAAGGCTGTAACGTAACAAAATGTGGAAAAAGTCAAGGGGTCTGAATACTTTCCGAATGCACTGTACATAACCAAGACATGTTTTATACATTTTTTTATAAATTTTCACTGACATTATTGAGCATTTTGTGTAGATCAGTGACAAACACACACAATTAAATCAATTTCAATCCCACTTTGTAACCCAACAAAATGTGAAAAAATACAAGGGGTGTGAATACTTATGATAGGCACTGTAGGTGATCACAGAATGAAATAGAACAGAATATTCCCTCAGAGTGAATAATATGATCTCGATGTTAATGGCCATAGAATAACAATGATTCTCTAATAATGTTCTGACACTCTAGATGACTTCTGTGGAAAGGGTGGTGGAGTACACCGAACTGGAGAGTGAAGCACCCTGGGAGACGGACAAACGCCCTCCACCTGATTGGCCCAGGCATGGTTTCATCACCTTCGACCAGGTCAACTTCTCCTACTATGCGGACAGTCCTGTGGTCCTGAAGAACATGACTGCGGTCTTCAGATCCAGAGAAAAGGTACCCACTAGATATTCTTCTGAAATATGTCCATGTTTACGACAATGCACAACACACCCCAACACACTCCAGTTGATATGCAGCCAGTGTAATAGGTGGGGTGCTGTTCTTTTCTATGTGTCATTATTTTTCAAATCAATTATTAAGGGGACACCTTATTGTGCCGCTGATTCCCAAGGAATATACCATTTGTGATTCATGGAATACATATCATGTAATTAAGACTAGTCAAGTGGATCCATTTTGTTCCCATTTGCATTCTAGGAGACCTGACGGTGACAACTGTTTATTCACTATATGAGAGCGAGAGGGAGAGAGAGAATACGAGAGGGAGAGAGAGAGGTGGAGATGGTTGAGGGTGATTGAAACCCAGCGTTTAATGCAGGGGGTGTATTTTGCATGGCCACGGTTCGCCAGGGCGGCTGATTTCACAATGGATGGGTTGATAAGTGAAGAGGCCTGGACTCTTGACAGCCCATGGGAGGGATCTTCACCCGATGCCGTGGGCCTGAACAGGCTTTGTGCATCCTGACAGTCCCCCTGAGACAACGTTTTCACAGGGAAACGAGCACCTATCTAGCACTCTGAACACTCCTCTCTCTCTACAAACACACACACACACACACAACACTCATGCATGCACACGACATGACGCATGATTTGGTACAGTAGGAACACAGCCCCAAAAGGTTCAAGACATTTACTTTTAACTGTTAACTATTCATTTTCTTATGTCTTACTATACATTTCCATACTTCCAGTGTAGTGATTCCACAAGGTGATTTATATATTTAATTTAGATAACCTTTTGCATTCTTTGTTTGAATCCAAGCGGCAATGTAATATTGCTGATTAGTTAGACGCACATCTTTGGGAATCGGAATCCGAGCATATAGGCTACTGTAGGAAGGGATATGTGATTGATCCATGCGGAAAGTGGTTGATAGCACCTACAGAAAAGACACTGAAATGCATACATTACATTACGATAGCATCTTATACTATCATGCCAGCTTTAGCAGTATTCTGCTGTTTTAATGTCACATTGCTTGTGGGGCTGTCACGTTAACAACTGATGTGCTGATCTCAAACAGGAAGGAACATCTCCACAAAGATAATCTCTCATTCTGCTGGAGAACTGGCCATGAAAGGCAAAGGTTCCATCATAAAGGACATAGATGATTAAGGTTACAATGATGCAATGGGAAGTGAAGTAGACCTTGAATTTAGCACTTGGAAGTCAACTTCGTACAAGGAAGAGGTCTTGGCTAGGAGGTTTTGAATGGTGTTATATAATATTAACATCAGATTTTATAGTAGAGAAAATGTGTTCAGAGAAAAACACAAAATAAAACATGAATTCTCTGTATGTTGAACTCTAGGTTGGCATCGTGGGGCGGACTGGCGCTGGTAAAAGCTCCCTGATCTCTGCTCTGTTCCGCCTGGCTGAACCTAATGGCAGGATTTCCATCGATGGCATTCTCACCTCTGAGATCGGCCTGCATACCCTGCGCCAGAGAATGTCCATCATCCCCCAGGCATGTACATTCTCTGCCCTCCTACCGCCTATTGTAGTCTATCGGCTAGGCTGCATTGTATAGCACATCTTTAGTTACTTCAGCATAATCCTGTAAGTCCTTTGATAGTACATTTATAGTACACATGACATGACTATGGAAGCCTTAAAATGACAAACATTACCTCAGTCATTATAGAGCATTAAGTAAAACAGTTAAAGCCTGAATGTGGGAGGTTCAGGGTTCCCTGACATATTCTGTAAGGTTCTATGACATATTTTTAGCATTCCCCAGACATGATGCACATTCAATGGCCAGGTGAACTTCCATTGGTAACCCAAACCCTCCCACCTTTGTGAGGTCTGGCCTGCTTTTTATGTCCCTGTTGGTTTCAAAGCAACAACAGGCTAAGGAGAATTACAGTCGTCACTCAGTGGATTTTGGAAAGTGAGACAAACGGATGCCTTGAGACAGTTTAACTTTTATTTCCGCTTGTTGAAAGTGATACAGCATTAGGAAAATGCCACCCCCTGGGTGAGTCAGCGCTCTGTGGCGGTGAAGACTCCCACGGCCCAGCTCTGAGAGGAGAGCAGAGTAGCTCCCTACCCGTCAGTGACAGGAGATTAGCATTCTACCCCCGAAACATCAGCAAAGCTGCTTAGGAGACTTCTCAACCCATCCCCATCCTCACAGTCCCACATAGGTCTACCAACATCATTTAGCCCAAGTGTTGAACATTTCACACATTGCAGCCAAAACAAGTTCATTAAAGGTTTTTGGTATGGCTTTGATGGGTTTCTAGTAACGCAATAGTTTACCAGATTAAGTTTCACTCCTATATTAGAACTGGTTTTGTTTTACCACTACCTGAGTGATGTCAAGGTAATGTTTTCCTATTGGGTACTGCTCATTCTGACAGGGGGACAGCCAGTTGCATCATGGGTAAAACAGCAAACAAGGCGGGGTGGGGAAAGTGGGGGCATATTTAGATTACTTCTGTTCTGAACGCATAACTGAAATGTTGGCTTATCTAAGAGGAGCAGCACTGTATCTGTACACAAACAGAATAGAGATGATCTATCGGGTTCGATTATTGTCCTATTATTCCACTCAAAAAATTCAAGCATGAAAGACACAGAGTATGATTTGCTATTACTAATATTACAAGGATTGGATTTCTTCTGCCTATATTCCCATTTTTCAGAACTTCCCTTAGAAACGGAAAAGTGTAAGTGATTATTCACTCAGCCTTTTAAATGGAAAATAACTTGATGTATAAGATGCTTGTTGCTCTACCTTGTGATGTGGAGTCTTCAGATTCTGATATGTATTCTATACATTGCCAGTGAGGACTTTTTATTATTCTACAGCTTCCCTCAGATTTGATTATGATAAACTTTTATTAGTATATGGCATTAAAAAAGAATCCATTTCAGGTTCTATTGAAATCTCAGGAATGACTTCACAGTAAAAAATGAATTCGGCGGCAAACAGAGGGCTTAGAATTGTTGGAGCACATAATCGTCTTTGGAAAGCTGTGCTTGAAAGCAGTTTTTCCAACTTAACATTGAATCCTCAATTAAAGTGAGTCACAAAACTAGTTTGAATTGGGACTTGAGCTGGCTTAATGACAAGGCAGTCTGCTGGTGGCAGGGGTAAAGCTCATTGGGAGTAGAGAAGTGGAACAGTTTTTAGGCTATAGAGCGAAAGGGATGAACTCCTGAATGCTTAAAATTCACAGCTCTGTTTTCAAGGAATCTGCTCAAAGTTAAACACTTGCCATGGGTTTCGAGACTGACACAAAAGTCTGTATGTGTGTGCGCATTGTCTTCTCAACCTCATGTTATTGGTGCTGTCACAGTGTTGGCTCAGAGCCTATGACCTGCATCAAAGCAGCCAACGGGGCATGGGTGATATGAGTCACTCACACAACAGTATTCTTCTAACCACGAGACATGATTATTAGTATCACAAAGTCAGTAAACAGCTAGTGAGTCTTCCAGTGACTGTGTACTTTACTCCTGTTCCTGGCCGTATCTTGCAGTTGCCAGGTAGGAGGTCAGATTAGCATCTTGAGTAAACTTGATTTATTATCGTCTTCCCTCCTCTGCATTGTGGATTGACAGTTTCTCCATGTCCTCCTTTATCTCTATTGCTATTACACAGGTCTATACAGACTCGTTAATGTTTTTTTTAATAGTCATTATACCCATTAAAGCCTCATAAACTCTGTTGTGTGTCACAGAAGAAAAGCCCTCAAGTATTTACTTAGTGATAAAACAATGAGGAAATTATCCTGTGAATGTAATCTAGCTTTATATTGTTCCGTGAATGCTGTGACGTTTTGTTTATGGCTAGAAAGGAGAGTCCCCTGTAAGAGATTTGTAAAATCACTTTTATGTTGGGCTAGGATTTCTGAATAAATATATTTTAGAGAGACTTGGCATGAGGACGTGTAGCCGTGCTCCTGTTTGCCAGGTTTACAGCAAACACAAGGGCATGCTGGAACAGTGTCTTCGGAGTGGCGAGCTATTTTGACTGCACTATAAGAAAGAGCTGTATTTGCTCTCTTAAGGGTGGTTGTATGCCTGAACCTTGATGTAGGTGTGTAGCTCACTGTAAATACACAGAGCTCCCACAGAACTGCTCCAAGCTGTATTTTATAGCATGGAGAAAAATCAGCCAACTGAAGGATAACTCCTTTTTACTCAACTAGGGATGTTGACATAAACTTTTCCAACTGTAATTTAGAGAGAGCATCTATCTTCATGAATTTGAATGAACATTGTTAATTTAATTTTTTATATATATATTTTTTGCAGCTTTTGAGAGATGATTTAAACATTTATGACTATAGTTTACCTTTAGGTAATTTGAGAAATGCTTTAAAAATGTTTTATGATTGCATACATAGTAGCTGGTGCACCTTTTCTATGTCCAGACAACCTTTATACACATCCTTTGCTCTCAAACAAGACCACAGCACAAGCTTTTCCAAAGTAAAAAGAACTTAATGTTGGATAGTGTGCCGGAGCCGAGGTATTGAATCGGGCTCCTGAGTGTGGCATTGCAGGCCCCATTGTGAACACCTATCCCTCACACATAGCACCGCTTTATACAGCCTGTCTTAACCCTTTCAAACGTCTCCCCCTCGTCATTATCCTAACTGGCCATGGCCTTCTCTTTCTATATCCATCTATCCCCATGCAGGACCCGGTCCTCTTCACGGGCACCATGAGGAAGAATCTGGACCCTTTCAGCCAGCACACAGACGAGGACCTGTGGAATGCACTGGGAGAGGTACTCCAGCGTGGGCTCTGAATGCTTCCCCCTCAGCGGCCCATGGGGGGATCCCTCTGTCCCCATGCACAATGCTGCCATTCAGCCTCCGTGCTCGCCACAAGTCATGGGGGGAAATCCCATTAGGGCCGTGGGGCCCAGCTCAATGTGCAGCTTGTAACTGGGAGCCATTCAAAGTGCTGGGGAAATGTGTGTTGTGCTGTGTTTGCCAGTTAGGCAATAGAGGATGAAGGCAGGGTTCCCCCACAGTGAAGGGCTCCAGCTCCTGGTCCTCAGTCTCCCCGCTCCTCAATGGGTTTGCTGGCCTGGATTAAAGCAATAGGCTGGTCACAAGGGAGCGGTGGCCAAGGTCATCAGTGGACCTGGCCCTGCATTGTGCCAGCCGGTTAATGGGTGTGTGTTGGATGTTTTTTTAAAGAGATCCCCCCCCGGGAGGCCTTTCTCCAGGGGTAATGGAGGGTCCCTGCTCCCTCTCCTCTCCCTGCAGGTGCAGCTGAGGACTGTGGTGGAGGAGCTGCCTGGGAGGCTGGAGACGGTGCTGGCTGAGTCGGGCTCCAACTTCAGTGTGGGTCAGAGGCAGCTGGTCTGTCTGGCCAGGGCCATCCTCAGACGGAACAACATCCTCATCATTGACGAGGCCACCGCTAACGTGGACCCCAGGTGAGAACACGCTTTGAACACTGACCCACATATTTGTGCTAGTTGTCATTGTGATGTTGTAACTCCTGCACATTGACTCTGTAACGGTACCCCCTGTGTACCCCCTGTATATAGCCTTCCTACTGTTATCTTATTTTACTGCTGCTCTTTAATTATTTGCTGTTTTTAATTTTTTACTTAACAGCATTGTTGGTTAAGGGCTTGTAAGTAAGCATTTCACTGTAATGTCCACACCTGTTGTATTTGGCTCATGTGGCAAATAAAATTTGATTTGATTCGTAACATTGGTCTGTCCCATAGATCAGTACATTCCATTTTAGGACAACAACATAATATAGATGTAACTAAAACAAAAGTATATACAAAGGTTTAACACCTTCATGAATAAAGCTATGGCCCCTGGTACTCAGTGACACTGTAACTCTATCCCATTTACTTCAGTACAGCTGCACATACCTGGCTAAGGATTAGCCATTGTTTTGATGTGTAAAGTAAAATCCCTGCCCAAGGGTGTATAGGAAGAGAGTATTGTTTCTGCATGGATGCCGAGGTAATCTCTTCCCCTGCTCCTTTAGAACCGACGGCCTCATCCAGCAGACCATCCGGGAGAAGTTCAGGGAGTGTACTGTGCTCACCATCGCCCACAGACTCAACACCATCATCGACTGTGACCGGATCCTGGTGAGGCCTCCCTCCAGTAACCATATGGCTAGCACTGTCTGCACATTTTCTTCACTTAACCATTCACAGTACACTCGATATGAAAAGAATTGCACACATTTCTGCTTCCTACTATACTGTAGAGGTCTTCACGGATCCACCTGTACCCGAATACCCGAGAACCGATCCGGGAACCGAGCAGGTCCGGATCCAGAATTCTAAATAATTTGATTGGTAGGATCTGACATGATTGTTACGGGCCTCGGGTATGTGTAATTTTAACGGACTTATCCAGAAAGATCCATGCGGATCCGAATGACAATAACCTAAAAAATGTAGTGTATGTGTGTGTGTGTATATATATATATATATATATATATATATATATATATATATATATATATATATATATATATACATATACATATACATATACATATACATATACATACATACATACATACATACATACATACATACATACATACATACATACATACATACATACATACATACATACATACATACATACATACGGTGGGGATAATTTTAATGGTAGGTTTATTTGAACAGTGAGAGACAGAATAACAACAAAAAAATCCAGAAAAACGCATGTCAAAAATTTTATAAATTGATTTGCATTTTAATGAGGGAAATAAGTATTTGACCCCTCTGCAAAACATGATTTGGTACTTGGTGGCAAAACCCTTGTTGGCAATCAGAGGTCAGACGTTTCTTGTAGTTGGCCACCAGGTTTGCACACATCTCAGGAGGGATTTTGTCCCACTCCTCTTTGCAGATCTTCTCCAAGTCATTAAGGTTTCGAGGCTGACGTTTGGCAACTCGAACCTTCAGCTCCCTCCACAGATTTTCTATGGGATTAAGGTCTGGAGACTGGCTAGGCCACTCCAGGACCTTAATGTGCTTCTTCTTGAGCCACTCCTTTGTTGCCTTGGCCGTGTGTTTTGGGTCATTGTCATGCTGGAATACCCATCCACGACCCATTTTCAAATGCCCTGGCTGAGGGAAGGAGGTTCTCACCCAAGATTTGACGGTACATGGCCCCGTCCATCGTCCCTTTGATGCGGTGAAGTTGTCCTGTCCCCTTAGCAGAAAAATACCCCCAAAGCATAATGTTTCCACCTCCATGTTTGACGGTGGGGATGGTGTTCTTGGGGTCATAGGCAGCATTCCTCCTCCTCCAAACAAGGCGAGTTGAGTTGATGCCAAAGAGCTCCATTTTGGTCTCATCTGACCACAACACTTTCACCCAGTTCTCCTCTGAATCATTCAGATGTTCATTGGCAAACTTCAGACGGGCCTGTATATGTGCTTTCTTGAGCAGGGGGACCTTGTGGGCGCTGCAGGATTTCAGTCCTTCACGGCGTAGTGTGTTACCAATTGTTTTCTTGGTGACTATGGTCCCAGCTGCCTTGAGATCATTGACAAGATCCTCCCTTGTAGTTCTGGGCTGATTCCTCACTGTTCTCATGATCATTGCAACTCCACAAGGTGAGATCTTGCATGGTGCCCCAGGTCGAGGGAGATTGACAGTTATTTTGTGTTTCTTCCATTTGCGAGTAATCGCACCAACTGTTGTCACCTTCTCACCAAGCTGCTTGGCGATGGTCTTGTAGCCCATTCCAGCCTTGTATAGGTCTACAATCTTGTCCCTGACATCCTTGGAGAGCTCTTTGGTCTTGGCCATGGTGGATAGTTTGGAATCTGATTGATTGATTGCTTCTGTGAACAGGTGTCTTTTATACAGGTAACAAACTGAGATTAGGAGCACTCCCTTTAAGAGTGTGCACCTAATCTCAGCTCGTTACCTGTATAAAAGACACCTGGGAGCCAGAAATCTTTCTGCTTGAGAGGGGGTCAAATACTTATTTCCCTCATTAAAATGCAAATCAATTTATAAAATGTTTGACATGCGTTTTTCTGGATTTTTTTGTTGTTATTCTGTCTCTCACTGTTCAAATAAACCTACCATAAAAATTATAGACTGATCATTTCTTTGTCAGTGGGCAAACGTACAAAATCAGCAGGAGATCAAATACTTTTTTCCCTCACTGTGTGTATATATATATATATCAATGGAATTAAAAGGAGAAGGATGGGCTACAACGACCTAGAGCCAAAAAGTAGGCTGCTCCTTTATATTCTGAATGGAGTTGTTGTTTGTGTAGGACGAGAAAGTGCATGCAGCCTCAATTAGCTTAACTAGCTTCTCCCGGTTTGATGCAGCCAAGACAGGTACTACATAATCATATTGGATGATAAATAACCTAGCTATGGCAGCTATTAGTCTACTATAGCGCTAGTGGGCTTGGTTGGTTGCTGTCACTCGTCTCTCTCTCCCTTCTCCCTGTGTCACTCGCTCACACACACACAACACGGCCCCTGTAGAGCGTCACCTCTCTCTTCCTCGTGCTTTATCAGCTCTGGTTAATAAAGTAGCTTACAAATGGACTTTTCGGCTGCTCCCTCACTCGGATCGGAAACGGGTCTATACGGAATGGGTCTAGTTGTCCTTGGGTCCGTTAGGAACGGGTCTCTATATTTACATAATTAATTTATGCATATCAGGTCTGGATGGGAAAGCCCCAGGTCCATTTCGGAACAGGTCCAACTTTTTAGACCTGTGAAGGCCTCTACTGTACAGTACAGTATCTAAGAATAGCTCAGGGTCAGACTTTACAATCAGCCCTGTCAGTGAAGTACCACTCAGAGTTTGTGACAGCTGGACCCATTACTCCCTAATCTCACCCCCTCTTAGTGGGGCCAGGTGGGCAGAGACTGAGAGGTGACCAGGCCAGCCCGTACCCCCGTGCCACTTGATCTTTGGCCTCTTCTAGCCCACTGCCTGCAGAGGTGCCAATTAGTGCCATTTGTGGCAGCATTTGTTTCCTGTCCTCCAGGACACTGGCTGACCCGGTAAATGGCTGGCTATTGAGATGGGCAAGGAGAAAAGCCAAATGTCACACAGCGGAAACGTTTCCACACCTGTCCCTGTGTCAAACGCCCCCAGATTGTCACGCTGTTTGATAGAACAGACTTGGGACCCACCTGAATTGCCTCGTCCAAATTATTAAGCGGCACCCCTGATGAATGGGAGAGTTTTCTTGAGTAGGAAACTCTAAGGCCTGCATATGTTCTACGGAGCTAGCTAAGGCAGAGAAATAAAGTGTTCTGTTGTTGATCACACTAGTTCTATAATGCTATGTGTTATTGTTCCAAAATTAGGCTTAAGATGTAAGAGTGGGCTTTGCCTATTTTAAGGAGATTGCTCTTGTTTAAAGGGAGCCAGAATGTAATGCTAGGCCTTTATGGAGCTCCTTGAATAGAAGGTATTCTTTGCCTGTTTTACAGTGCATGTGATGACAGAGACATGATTGTAATTTTCTGAAGCGTGCTGAAGGTGTGATTGTTGCCTTTGACACAGTTGAGGACCACCCTTGCGGTGCTGAAATGCATGCATGGATAAATGCATGGATAACCTTGCTTAGGCCTGATCTTCTGTCTGACACTGTCAGCGTACACTTTCACAGCAGCAACAGGGAATGTCCACAGCCCCGTCCGGCAGAAACAAGCCCTGGTGTTTGTTGTTGGCATGAGTCACATGAAATGGATGGTTCCGAGACAGTAGAGAACTACTGTTTCTCACTTGGCCTCTATTGTCTGTGTGGATCACTCACCAGTGAAACAGCTGAAATGCTAGTTTTTAAGTATTAAAGTATATAGCCCATGTGGCCCACGCCCTACTACTCTCTCCTGTGTCTGATTGCAGGTTCTAGATGCTGGGAGGATCCAGGAGTATGATGAGCCCTATGTTCTGCTTCAGAACCAGGAAGGAGCGTTCTACCAGATGGTCCAGCAGACAGGCAAGGCAGAGGCAGCCTCCCTCCTCCATGCAGCCAAACAGGTAATCAACCCAACCAACCCCGCCCTCCTTTGTTCTAACTGTCAGCACTCTTAGTGCACACAGCTACACTCACCCTAATCCTTATAACACACTCCTTATAACAACTGGTGTCCCTTCTTTGCCCAAAACAACAGTCAGTCATACACAACTGTGTGTTCATTAGCCTGGCATGTCAATGGAGCTCTATGAATATTTGCACTGAACGTGTGTAATGCTATTTATGTAGATGCATTTCTACAGTGAGGGGAAAAAAGTATTTGATCCCCTGCTGATTTTGTACGTTTGCCCACTGACAAAGAAATTATCAGTCTATAATTTTAATGGTAGGTTTATTTGAACAGTGAGAGACAGAATAACAACAAAAAAATCCAGAAAAACGCGTGTCAAAAATGTTATAAATTGATTTGCATTTTAATGAGGGAAATAAGTATTTGACCCCCTCTCAAGCAGAAAGATTTCTGGCTCCCAGGTGTCTTTTTATACAGGTAACGAGCTGAGATTAGGAGCACATTCTTAAAGGAAGTGCTCCTAATCTCAGTTTGTTACCTGTATAAAAAGACACCTGTCCACAAAAGCAATCAATCCAATCAGATTCCAAACTCTCCACCATGGCCAAGACCTCTCAAAGGATGTCAGAGACAAGATTGTAGACCTACACAAGGCTGGAATGGGCTACAAGACCATCGCCAAGCAGCTTGGTGAGAAGGTGACAACAGTTGGTGCGATTATTCGCAAATGGAAGAAACACAGAAGAACTGTCAATCTCCCTCGGCCTGGGGCTCCATGCAAGATCTCACCTCGTGGAGTTGCAATGATCATGAGAACGGTGAGGAATCAGCCCAGAACTACACGGGAGGATCTTGTCAATGATCTCAAGGCAGCTGGGACCATAGTCACCAAGAAAACAATTGGTAACACACTACGCCGTGAAGGACTGAAATCCTGCAGTGCCCGCAAGGTCCCCCTACTCATGAAAGCACATATACAGGCCCGTCTGAAGTTTGCCAATGAACATCTGAATGATTCAGAGGAGAACTGGGTGAAAGTGTTGTGGTCAGATGAGACCAAAATCGAGCTCTTTGGCATCAACTCAACTCGCCTTGTTTGGAGGAGGAGGAATGCTGCCTATGACCCCAAGAACACCGTCAAACATGGAGGTGGAAACATTATGCTTTGGGGGTGTTTTTCTGCTAAGGGGACAGGACAACTTCACCGCATCAAAGGGACGATGGACGGGGCCATGTACCGTCAAATCTTGGGTGAGAACCTCCTTCCCTCACCCAGGGCATTTGAAAATGGGTCGTGGATGGGTATTCCAGCATGACAATGACCCAAAACACACGGCCAAGGCAACAAAGGAGTGGCTCAAGAAGAAGCACATTAAGGTCCTGGAGTGGCCTAGCCAGTCTCCAGACCTTAATCCCATAGAAAATCTGTGGAGGGAGCTGAAGGTTCGAGTTGCCAAACATCAGCCTCAAAACCTTAATGACTTGGAGAAGATCTGCAAAGAGGAGTGGGACAAAATCCCTCCTGAGATGTGTGCAAACCTGGTGGCCAAATACAGGAAACGTCTGACTTCTGTGATTGCCAACAAGGGTTTTGTACTAAGTCATGTTTTGCAGAGGGGTCAAATACTTATTTCCCTCATTAAAATGCAAATCAATTTATAACATTTTTGACATGCGTTTTTCTGGATTTTTTTGTTGTTATTCTGTTTCTCACTGTTCAAATAAACCTACCATTAAAATTATAGACTGATCATGTCTTTGTCAGTGGGCAAACGTACAAAATCAGCAGGGGATCAAATACTTTTTTCCCTCACTGTATATTCTATACCATAAATTTAATTTCATGAGAAAAATTGCCCTTTTGTCATTTTACATGACTGATATTATCAAATGAATCTTCCGTGTAATCTATTTCCAAAAATGTAATTTTGAAATCATTTCAGAGATCATTCTAGAAAAGCAGCTTTCTTTGCTCTTTATCTATTTTGAAATATTGGGTTTTAACTTTGTCTCGATTTGGGATAAACTTCCTATGGGGATTACTGTAATAGAGCACATCCTTATATATATTTTTTCTTTGAAATTCATTTGTGATGTATTTCCCCTTCAGCCACTCTCCAGATAAGGGCTGGGTAGCTATTCATCGTTCAATTCCATTTTTATGTGCATCTGTCAGGGACTACAGATACGATATTGCAACTTCAAACAGGTCTTTGTGAAATAAGAAAAAGTAGGCATCATTTCATTTTCTCTCTGTCCCTGGTACAAATTTATCAGGAGAACTGTATCTCCCCAGCCACAGACTGAAATGGGTAAAATACTGATTTCAAAGACTCAGCACACTGTCGTATTATTTGGTATCGTCTTCTCCTGCACAGTGGCGGATTGGTAGGGACATTGTTCAGGCCCTTACGTCTCCTTTCTTTATTGTGGGCTGCTCTCTCCAGATCAGATTACTCCAACTCCCAGAACCGCTCTCTAGCACCACTTATTAAATACTGAGACGTCTCACAAACCGAGTGTGAACTTTCTATAGTTGTCAGTCAAGGTTTAAATACATTAAATCATCTGATACCAACCTCACACTCCTTTGTCCGAGCAGAATGAGAATCCCTGAGTTGGGAGTATATCTGATATTGTGGCTAACCGTTTTCACCTGTTTTCCTCTCTCCTTGTGCATTCGTGTTGCCAAAATACTTGGTTTGTCATAGTCTCTTTGTGCCGGCTGGAACTAGATAAAAGGACACCTTTGGCTCTCTGTGGAAAACAACCGTTTTTCAATAGCCATTTTGAATGAGCGTTTGTATGTATCAAGTTCATTTTGAAAGTGGTTGATGTAAGCAAGATCTTGATTTAGATGTTGTCTGTGCTAAATAGTCATGTTAAACAGCATAGAGTCAGTTAGAAACCAGTGTGGTGAAGTCTACGTTATTGTTGTGATTATCGCAGAAGAATTTCACAGTTCTTTCGAGACCAAAATAACCACTTTGAATGCTCTCATGCTCCTGTGGGAGACAAATTCCTCAATCCAGTCTGAGATCCATCCTAAGTCAGCCATTCACAGATTCTACCTCAGACGACAAACTACAGTAGAATCTATGTGTGACACTGCTCTCCTGATACCCTTTCAGATTCATATGAACAAAAGCCATCCCAATGTGACTAACGGACTGACGGACCTGAGCCTGTCCGAGGGGAGCTGTGTCATCTTTGAGACGGCCCTGTGACAGACCGGACACCATTGTCTGACCTTTGACTCCTGTAATGTGGCCCTCTGTGCTGGCCACACCATGAGGATGCCTCACACACTGTACCAGAGGTGACCAAATATTATCCAGCTCTTGAATTCACAATGCCTTCTTCAAGACATCGTTTGTGGCCAGGGCTGCCGGCAAACGTGGTGAGCAGGCATTTGCCTCCGCACTTTTCAATTAGATGGGGCAGTGCCCCACCAGTTTTGATTTGGTTTAATAAAATAAAAAAAGGCAAAAGCAGTGAAAACAGTGACAAAGCAGGCATACTGTTTTTTTTAGACTCACTTGCCTTGCCTCATAATTCGTCAATGTATGCACTATGTCCTTCTCGTGTGTGTTGACCAGTCAGATTCATGAAAATCACAGGTCAGGCATGGCGCACGCCAATAGACTCCACATTCCTCTGATATTATTTTAGCAAATGGGGAAAGAACTCACTCCCGACAGACTCAAGCAATTCGATCCGACATGCTGTATCAGTCTGGTAAACTGCAGGCCTAGCCTCTGCGCGCTGTCCCATCTGGCCAGGGGAAACTAGCTGTAACGTTGTGTTCATAGCCTAAGCCAATTTATTTGTGTTAAGAGGAAATGTGAATGTGATAAAATTGTGTTTATATTCAAACTTCAGTTAGCTAGGCTACCTAGGCCTTTTTTAATCCAAAATGTATCAAATCAACAAATAGTGATGACATAGGCTAGACTTTGTTAATGCACCTGTAACTTTTTAATTACAGATGTACAGTGTATAGGCCTACACAGGGATGGAACTTTTTTTGGGGGCACTGGCCATTCCAATCCCTGGGCCTACATGATGCAACCATAGACATTAAAGGGGATGCAACCCTGCGTAAAGCAAGCTCAGTCCTGTAAGTTATATTGTCTAATCACAGTTGTGTCCTGTTAGTCTAGTTTTAAAATATAATTAATATGAACAAGTACAAGGTTGCTGCAGTTTGACAGGGTTTTCATTCTCCCTATAGGGCCAGGAGTTTTTCCAGGAGTTTAATACTATGTGACTTGATCAGAAAAACTCTGTCCTCATCATAGCCCATATAAATCAGTTTTGAAACTGATTAATCACTATGTCATACCCTACACAGAGATTGACTATAAGGTCGGAAAGGTACTTTCTCATCGGCCAAGTCAGCAGTATTTTTTTGGTTGCCCGAAGATTATGGTCACTTGCCTGAAAATTGGTAGATAGTTATTTACAAGCAGAAATGCCATGAGGTGTTGGTCTCTTAATTAAACAACAGGGAGGAAGCAGAAAAATCTGTAACTGGCCTGCTACATTGGATGCGTATCTCAAACTTTTACAGAGCGCAAGACACTCCTATTCATTTCAACAACCTGGGCGCTCATATTTAATTTCAACAACATTTCTAATGGAAGGAAAGCGGTGAGGAGCAGAGTGGGCAGGGGAATGTTGGGCGACAGGAGCATGGGCGAGGGGCGCTGAACAGGGCGGGACTAAAGTTGGGCAAATCTTATCACAGCGCGAGTAACCATTCAAAGGTCATAGCCAATCCAGTAGGTGTTGGAAGCTAACAATGGCTGTTGATACGTAGCACTACCTAACATGCATGCTAGCTTGTTAGCACCCACATGAGGGCAAAGCTAGCATGGCTAGGCTAGGCTAGCGTGGCACCGCTATATATTTAGTGTATCTTGGCCGGAGCAATAGGGTAAAGTGACTCGCTCTGCTAGCCCTGACCAAAAGTTATGCTCCCAGTGTAGCAGATAAAAAACAATCTGCTTCTTTTGCGATGCCCCGACTGGAATTCTTTGCAGTTTGGTTGTTTTCAGTTCAAAATCCCTTGCCTAATGGAACAGCGACAGAGCAGGCTCAACTTTCTCGGCTGCCATAAATGCCATAAATTGTCTGTCTTTCACTTAAACAATGGGGATGAACCAGAAAGATTCGTTTTAGGCTAAGCCTACTGGAATTCCTTACAGTTTTGTTTTCAGTAAAACAAAATCAACTGGGGCAACTTTAGAGCAGGCTCAACTTGCCCGACTTCTCAGTTCACTTGCCCCAGGCAATAGGGCAACCCTTAAGGTCCCTGCTACAACTAGGTTCTGTAGTTTTACCTGGTTACCATCATGAGTAAAAAAAATGTCCCCACCTCTCTGGGACATGTGGTGCCACCTCTGTGTGTCACATGTGATCAGCATACATAGGCTATGGGTCCATAACTGCCCAGGAGAAGTTGTTTGAAGCAATGTGTGCCTTTATTGAAACAAATTACTGGTTGTGTTGTATTGATTTATGTTTTGCGATATTTGTTTTGTATGTGTGTTGCATGGCCCCTGGGGTAGGATTATTCATAATCTTGCATTTAGGTGCTTGTAAAGATTTAGGGGTGTGGAGTGTTTTTTTTAATGGTACAATAAAAAAGTAGCTTATACTGGTTGGATACACATTTTGGGTTATTCAGAGTAAAACCTACCTATCTGTACAGAGGGTTTGACCAGTGATTCTGAATAGTTTTAAGTCAAATTTGATTTTGTACTTGTGTACCAGAGAGGATGCACCTGTCTAATTGTTTTCAATAATCATTGTGCCTTGATCAGAATATTGATCCTTTGTAATTGCACTGTATTCATTGATTGTCTTATAAGACCAGATTTGGTCTTCTTGTTCTCTGAGTAGAATGACTATTGCTACCTCTTTTTTGGAATAAAGCTATGAATGGAAAGCAGGTCAGAAGTAGATGGATTATGTGTTAGCATGTATACTAGATGACCACTCAAAGAGCCTATGAAATGATGCGAAAGGCATGAATGTTTTTGAAGAAAGAAATAGTGTGTACTATCAAAAGGTTTTTCTCCACTCTGATCATCTGAGCTAAATATGCTGCTTATGTTATATGTATGCTGTTATGGAACTTTAACCATTGATCCACTGTTTCAGTTTGTGGGACTACTACCATCAGATGATTGACTCTTAAGCTTTATCAATAAGCTATGCAAAAAATCAAGACACAATATGACCATTAAAGATGCAATGTGAATGTAATCCAATGAATAAAAACTGTATTAGTTGAATACTTTTTTTTGCTTAACTTTTTTATGATCTTGCCATGAGTAAATATACTGAACATGAATATAAACGCAACATCTACAGTGTTGGTCCCATGTTTAATGAGCTGAAAAAAAGATCCCAGAAATGTTCTATATGCACAAAAAGCTTATTTCTCTAAATTTTTGTGCACAAATTTGTTTACATCCCTGTTAGTGAGCGTATCGCCTTTGCCAAGATAATCCAGCCACCTGCATGTGTGGCATTTATTTTACCTTTATTTAACTAGGCAAGTCAGTTAAGAACAAATTCTTATTTACAATGACGGCCTACACCGGCCAAACCCGGATGACGCTGGGCCAATTGTGCGCCGCCCTATGGGACTCCCAATCACGGCCGGTTGTGATACAGCCTGGAATCGAACCAGGGGGTCTGTAGTGACGCCTCAAGCACTGAGATGCAGTGCCTTAGACCGCTGCGCCACTCGGGAGCATATCAAGAAGCTGATTAAACAGCATGGTCATTACATGGGTGCACCTTGTGCTGGGGACAATAAAAGGCCAATCTAAAATGTGCAATTTTGTCACACAACACAATGCCACAGATATCTCAAGTTTTGAGGGAGTGTGCAATTGGCGTGCAGACTGCAGGAATGTCCACCAGAGCTGTTGCCAGAGAATGTAATGTTTCTCTACCATAAGCCACCTCCAACGTTGTTTTAGAGAATTTGGCAGTACGTCCAACCGGCCTCACAACCGCAGACCACGTGTATGGCGTCGTGTGGGCGTGCAGTTTGCTGATGTCAATGTTGTAAACAGGCCACAATCAACAGCCTGATCAACTCTATGCGAAGGAGATGTGTCGCGCTTCATGAGGCAAATGGTGGTTACCAGATATTGACTGGTTTTCTGATCCACGCCCTCAACTTTTTTTAAAGGTATCTGTGACCAGCAGATGCATATCTGTATTCCCAGTCATGTGAAATCCATAGATTTAGGGCCTAATTTATTTATTTCAATTGACTGATTTCCTTATATGAGCTGTAATTCAGTACAATCTTTGAAATTGTTGCATGTTGTGTTTAATTGTTGTTCAGTGTACAACCCGTCATAACCTTATTAGTATCTGTTATAATTTTCTTTAGTTAAATCAATATATTAAGTTGTGTGAATGTTGTTTCACCTCAGGTACCTTTTAGTTAGCTGCTGTGTGAAGCGGTCTTAGCCCTGACGCCCCCAACACAACGAGTGGTAAGTGGTACAAGGCCAAACCATACGCGTAGTTGAACAACATTTTCACAATTAAACAATGAGTATGTTACATTCTTTAGTTTTTACCTTTTTTTTATTTTGATCATCAAGAAACATAACCAAATATGTTCTAATTGAAATATAATACTACTATTATCTTTTCAAATTAGGAGAGGTACTTGACTCCCCTCAAACTGAGAGCAGTAATCATCCCAGATTTGGAGAGGGGTGTCAGTACACAGTTAAGTCTAAATGGCAGTATTTAGCCTTGGTTAAGTAGGCTCTAGAAAGGGGCAGAGATGTGGGTTCGTGAACTGCAGGCCATTAGGTGCTTTTAAAGCGGACTGATTTACACAATTCATTAACGGCAGTGAATTTTCAGCCTCCGTCATATTAAATGGTTACTTACTCTCAAATAGCCCCGGGGGAGTTGAATTGTTGGGTTGCGAATAGATTAAAGTTTACATTGAAACAGAAATTGAATTCAGAGGTAATCAATAGCATAATGGGCAAGTGAGAGGAGCCGGCTGCCTGAAATGAAATTACCATATTTTTAATCTTAATTTTCCACTCTGTTTATCTGACAGTGTGGATGTGCAATCCAAACAGATAATGAGAGAGTGGGATATTGACACGGCGGTCCTCTGGAGTGCTTGTTTCAGTGATTAAACGCTGTGATCTGTGATTACTTTGTGTCGGGT